GCGACAAATGCAAGAAGATATTTAGACGAAAATTCAATTTGCTTCAACATCAAAAAATAGTTCACGAAGGTTGTATAGATTACGCATGCGATAATTGCGCGAAAAACTTTGGAAGTAATTCAGATTTGGTCAAGCACCAAAAGACGGTACACGAAGGTTGCAAAGATTACTCATGCGATAAGTGCGAAAAGAAATTTGGACTAAAATCTTATTTGTTAAGGCACCAAAAAACAGTACACGAAGATCGAAAAGATTACGCATGCAACATTTGCGAGAAGAAATTTGGGGACCAAAGTAATTTGCTCAGACACCAAAAAACAATCCACGAAGGTCGCAAAAATTACGCGTGTGACCGATGTGAGAAGAAATTCGGACAGAAACAAAATTTGCTCAGACACCAAAAAATAATTCACGAAAGTTGCAGAGATTTTGCATGTGACAAATGCGAGAAAAAATTTGTGCTCAAGTTTAATTTATTCAAACACCAAAGGATAGTACACGAAGGTCGGAAAGATCATGCATGCGACAAATGCGAGCGAAAATTTGGTCGAAAAATGCTATTAATCAGGCATCAAACGATAGTCCACGAGGGTCGCAAGGAGTTTGCATGCGAATGATAAGCGCAATAAGAAGTTTGGACATAAACAGCATTTCCTCTTGCAGCAAAAGACAATCTATGACGGCCGCAAGGATTTCACACGCGACAAATGCGAGAAGAAATTTGGACAAATTTAGACCAAAAGTGAATTTGCTCAAACACCAAACAGTTAATGACTGTTGAAAAAAATGATAATTGACCATTTTAAATATGTATAAATATTTGTAAATGTGTTTTTCTAAAATTTCAATGAAAATTTTACCAAAATGATTGAGTCTTGCGTGATATCATTTGTCATTATTCATTGTACCGTTGTTCACTATCATTGCGGTGTTTTATTTTTGAGACAAATATCGCTCTCTACTAATTACTACTCTCCTTAACTTTTTTGGCTATTCACTTTCTAGCTCTTTGGGCAACTATCAGCCTAGATTTTTTTTCACGTCTTATTTGGAGCCGCGAAAAGAAAAAAGTTCTTACCGAAAAACCCGAAGAAGTACTGCATGCCATTTCAGCTGCCGCGCGGGCTGACAAGTCTCGTTTTTACACGTTCATTGTTGTATTTCGACTAGTAAAAATAAAATTAACTCGCTGGACAATATAAACTTCGAAGCCTTCGATCTAGACTATTTTAAAAAATCTTAAAAATACGCTTATTAAGATATTAAATGTTGAATGTTTATTTTAAAAATATTGCAGGGAGAATTTTCGAAAATCTAACTGCACTAACGAAAAACTGAGAAAATGTCCAATCGAAACCATATATTACAAAAGTTTTTGAGTGTGTTTAAGCAGTTTTCTGACGAGTTTGAAATTAAGCAATTTTTCTTAAAGGTCCCGTGTAGCTGCTGCTCTGTAGAAATTTTATATTTAATTAAATATTGTTAGGATAACGTATAAACAGACAAATCGGTAAACTTTTATTTCATAAACGTTTTTTACATAGTTCTTCCAAACACTCATCATGTTTATAGTGAAAATAAGTTAGTTTGAATGTTGTCTTTCTCGAGGAAACAAACTACAAAATCAGAAAATAAATTTTAATTATTCCATTTCCGTGGCACTAAATAGACTGACCGATCAATTAATTTAGGCGCCAAAATGGATAAAAGTGAGGATAAACCAGAGAAAGTTATCTTAAAAAATAATTCAAATGGATTTGACGTAGTTGTTTCAGACGATGAAAAATACGTTTGTGATGTTCGTCAAGAGGCATTTACACTAGAATCGAGTATGATCACATACCGAAATACAATTCTGGATGAACGAAAAGATTACGCTTGTGACAAGTGCGAAAAACAATTTGAGTTCCGAAGTCATTTGAGTAGACATCAAATATCAGAACATAAACGGCAAAAAGATTTTGCATGTAACAATTGTGAGAAGAAATTTGTGAAAAAAACAAGTTTGCTTACACACCAAAAATTAGTACACAAAGATCGCGAAAACTACTCATGCAACAAGTGCGAGAGGAAATTTGAAAATAAATCAACTTTACTCAAGCACAACAAAATATTTCACGAAATTTTCAAAGATTACTTATGTGAAAAGTGTGCCAAGAGATTTGCAAGTAAGCAGAGTTTACTCTCTCACGTAAAAAGAGTTCATGAGGTTCGCAAAGATTTCGCATACCACAAGTTAGAAAAAAAATTTGGATTAAAATCGACTTTGCTCATACACCAAAAGACAGTACACGACGGTCGCAAAGATTTTACATGTGACAAGTGTGAAAAAAAGTTTGGACAAAAAGGTAACTTGCTCTCCCATCTAAAGACTGTCCATGAAGGTCGCAAAAATTATGCATGCGATACGTGTCATATGAAATTTGGTAAAAAAACGCATTTGCTCGAACATCAAAAAATAGTTCACGAAGGTCGAAGAGATTTCCCATGCGACAAGTGTGAGAAGACATTCGGACAAAAATCGGATTTGGTAAGACACCAAAGGATCGTCCATGAAGGTCGCAAAGATTACGAATGCGACTATTGCGACAAAAAATTCGGATATAAAAGTAATTTGCTTTCTCATGTAAAAACAATCCACGAGGATAGCAACGACTTTGCATGCGACAAGTGCGAGAAGAAATTTGGAATAAAAGAGTATTTGCTCAGACACCAAAAAATAATTCATGAAGGCCGGAAAGACTACGCATGCGAGAATTGCGAGAAAAAATTTGGGCTCAAGTTTAATTTATTCAAACACCAAAGGATAGTACACGAAGGTCGTAGAGATTTTGCATGCGACAATTGTGAGAGGAAATTTGGGGAAAAATCAGATTTTTTGAAACACCAACAGACAGTCCACGAAGGCCGGAAAGATTATGCATGTGACAAATGCGAGAAGAAATTTGGGGAACGAGGCACTTTGATCAAACATCAAAAAATAGTTCACGAAGGTCGCAAAGATCACGCGTGTGATAAGTGCGCGAGAAAATTTGGATATAAAAAAGATTTGTTGAAACACCAAAAGATAGTCCACGAAGGTCGGAAAGATTACGCATGCGACGTCTGTGAGAAGAAATTTGGAGATCAAAGCAATTTGAAGAAACACCAAAAGAAAATACACGAAGGTTTAATAAAAACTTTGCCAAAAAGATTGAGTCTTACCTGATATCAACTATCATTACGCCTTTGTAACATTGTCGTTGCGATGTTTTCAAATTTCGTAACTATACTTATTACTACTCTCTATTTTGTGGCTATTTACTTCCTGTAGCCATTGATGCAAAGATCAACCGAAACTATTTTCAATCTTGTTCAGAACTGAGAATGGGTCGAGGATTAGTTGGCTACTGTATTTTTTGATATACCTCGTGTAATATGCTGAATTGATCCAACATGCAATAGTAAAAGATTTTGATGAATATGCTGAAATATTGATTGCTTCTGCTGATAGAGATGTGATTGTTAATAAAAATACTATCTCGGAAAGCTTCCGTAATTATTTTATCCTTTTCTTAGCCCTTTTATTAATCCAAAACATTATGTTATTTTAATGGCGTAAGCGACCAATGAAAGTTCGTACTAGGGCAGTATTTTTTCCAATCCGTCACTGTAGAGCTTACTTAGATAAGAACCCGAAAAAAAGCTCAAACTGATTTCATAACAAAGGATAGAAAGAGAGAGAGAGAGAGAGAGAGAGAGAGAGAAAGTTGAGTTATGATTTCGGCATCGAAAGCATACGTAAACGATCGGCGTTAATTTACATAATCAATGAATATCCCTCCCCCCAAACGCGTAACGCAATACATTCTCTCTCTCATGCTGCAAAATCTTGATTCGCCCGGACTTCAATTATTATAAAGGCTAAAAAGATAAAGTTAACCCTTTACGTACAATTATTAATTCACGCTCTCGTCATTTCCCTCGAGGTAAAACTTGCCTGGACCATCATACTCTCTTGCTCATTCTCGCAGATGTAGCAGCAGCAGATAATTATCTTTATTTACAAAAGTCTAATATAATAAACCGAAAAGACGAGCAGCAGTAGCAGTAGCAGCAACGACGGCGGAGTTGATCGCGCGCGCGGGGCACGGAATATGCTATTATTGTATTCCCACGAGTCCGTAACGTTATATTACCCGCGGTTTACGTTTACAATTTCAACCACTGCTGCAACGCGTTATAACCCTTTCTACGTTCGCTCTGTGCTCTCGGAGCGGTCAATGTTGTTGGCGAGCTGATGCTGCTGTGCTCGACGGCCCGTACATACATACGTCGTTCTGCTGAGCGTGGAGACGTTTCAAATATTCATCGGCTATTGCATTTGGGAAAAACTTTTTTTTTTGGCATATGTACTACCGCCGACTGGCTGGTGGTCTTTCGGAGTTTCGGGTTGAATTTTGGTCTCTTTTTCACCGACTTGCATTCGTGCTCGTCGATCGAGGCTTCGCGAGGAATTTCACGAAAAGATTTTTAAAATAAGCGCCCGTGACAAAAATCATTGCTTACACTTCCAAATTGTGTCACATACAGTTGTTGTTTGTGTTTTTATTACTCTATAAAGAAGCATTAGTAATATTAAACGTTATCAATTTCAAATTTTGCAAGCAATTCGAAACTTCAAACCAGCAAAATCATCGTGCGTCATTCTGCAATTTTTCATCGCCAAGTGCTCGCGTCAATAATCGACGATCTTTATACTTGATTTACAGCTACTTGATTGTTTACAAGTGCCACCGATATTCGTCAGTTCTATACTTGAAAAAATCTCTAAACAAATAAGCGTTATAGTATATATTATTATCTATCGATGTCACGATAAGATGACGGGTATAATTTGAATTTCGAAGCTATGGTCGCGCCGCAGACGCGCGTCTATTTATCCGCAGTATAGCAGCCAATGATCGTCGACACTCTCGCGGTGTTCGGTTGACAGAGCCGCGCGAATAAAACAAGCGACAATAGTAAACACGAGCCAAGGATCGAACGAGCCAAGCGAGCCTCAGTGTCGTTTCGTTGTCCGATATACAAACAGCTAATCGCGCTAACGGTTTAGAAAGTTACTCAAACTCAAAATCATGGCTCTCAAATCGATCAATTTGACTCTCGTTTTCTTCATCGTTTTTTCGACGTTCGCGGGCCCGCGCGACGTCCAGGCCTCGCAGCAAATGGCCGATTTCGTCCAATCGATACCCGAAGATGGTAATTATTATTCACGATTAAATTTGATCCTTTTTTTTTCAACGAGGGCCCCCTTTCGAGAGTAATAACACACGTTCGTTCGACGAATTTTCCAGAGCGAGGCACCTTTTTGGCTTACAGTATCGGACTCGAGATTTTGAGGAAGCACCTCGAGAAATTCAACAGAACGAACGAGGTTGACAAGTACGGCAACGCCTGGCGCGAGACGGCCAAGGAACTTTTGGTACGTATTTTAAATTCGATCGTGTTGATAAAAATTTTTAAAAGTGCGTCTTTTGACTTACTGTCCAATTCGAATCTGTGTTTCAGAAACGCGACGACGTACCCGTCAACTTCGCCAGCGAGGCCGTCGAGTACGTTCAAACCCACTTGGTGCTTGAATCCGACGAATATAAAAATCTGATATACACTAGTGAAAGATACGCAAAAGAAATACAAAAACATATAATACCCAATGATGATAATATTAGCGAGACATGCTGTCCTTTTTAATTGTGACGTCGATTTTTTAATCTTAAGTTATTGTAATTTCTTGGGTAGTAAGATTTTTTATTTTTATACACCTATATGATTCAAAAAAATAGAACAAAAAAGACAATAACATTTTAACTCAATAAAGTCAAAATCTGTTATATTTTTACATTAAAATAGTTATTATTTATTAACTAAAGATACATATTCATAATTCTTCCTTTATTAAAACTGGTGATCTAAAGGAATTGAAGAGGAACGTTGCCCCATGAGTAATGTACGTATAGACAATTATCAAGTAGTGCTCTTCCCATTTTACCTACAAAAATCAAAAAATAACAAAAGTAGAATCTAATTTTAACTATTATTTCAATTTGATATATGTTGAGCAAGTATAACTGAGGCATAGCGAATGCACAACACATAATAAGTTCTAAAAAAATTCACATGTGTCAATACTTTACTTTTCAAACAAAATCTTCAGAATTTTATAATTAACTGGAAATTGGGAGAAAATATAATCAGCTTTGAAAGGATAAAGAATATAATTTAATTAATGTATAGAGCTGTGGAACAATTCAACTATATAAGGTAAGAAAACGCAAAGTAAAATTAATTAATGACTCAAAAGATTAGGAATTAGTTTTTTAATTGGTTTAATTTTTTTCACTTTAACAACTAATGTATGCAATAATCCTAAGTACAGTTACAATGTGAACAAGTAACTATGCAATATAGTATGGCATCAGCTTTATTACCATGCATAAATATGATTTTGAACAGAACATCTCACTTATTTCCACTCATGACCCGGCTTTATCAAGTCTTAACTATAAAATAACATTATCAATTACATCGAAAATCCTGAATCAGTTGAAATGTAGAAAGTATCATTTTTGAGACCAAATTTTCATTATGCTAAATATAAGCTCCGTATATTTCGCGAAGTTCGTAAATTTTTACATCCATATCATTAACCATGTTGTACAAGCAAACATATTTAAAGTGAGAATTAATAATATTATACAAATTTGTCACAAAATACTTAAATTAGTTGGCAATGTTTTTGTTTTGGTGTAAATTATGACAAAACACCTACGAATTTCAATACAATTTAAACTCTACAGTTTCAAAATCATCATTCGTTAATTTAGATTAGAATTTCAATTATACTGCAAAAAACATTCGATTTAAATACTTGATATATTCCAGCTAAACAAGGAGGATAAATAATTTTTACAGACGTATGAACGACGACAAAAGTTTTGGTACATTTCAAGACTTTGTGAGTACACAACGAAATGTATATTGACTCTTACATTATGGTAAAATTATTATAATATCGAGTGTTGATCATTTATGAGAATGTATTTTCATCCGATAAGTTCGCTAGAATGTAAAAGAGTAATATTTTCACGATTTACGCACTCTTACATGAACATGCGATTTGCAGTAGCATTTGAGCTGGAGAATTGTAATAATTTATTTTCATCTCCTTATCATACTCATACGTTTAGCGACGATCAAGTCCAAAATCAGTCTTTTTCTCAAAATTGAGAAGCGGTTATTCATAGTCGCTAGTATAATTATATTTTATGGTGTATAGTGGCATTTATTCACTCAAACTACGTTTTATTGTTTCTCGTTATCGAATCTTGTTTTAGCTCATCTAGTACATTTTCTACGACTGTCTTCTCAGGAACATTTTCAAGTAATATTTTGATAAAATATGTTGAAAATTACCTTATAAATTAACAAAACAAAAAATCTACAAACACACGTGAAATTCAAACAATCATATTTTAATTTAAAAAACGTAACATGAATTTATAAGGTAAAATTAAGTCAAAAATATTCTGAATAAAAGTGAAAAATTGAAAAATGTTCCATTTGAAGCAAATGCAACTAATATTCGATAATTTCGTACAAATCTTTTGCAGCAGCTCTTCACTGCGCTTTTAACTGGTTGAAACTCAACATTTTATGAAATAGATTGAAAAGTTTGATGATTTTTTAAATCTGGCATTATTAGCCAATGAATCTACACCTACGAATTCATGATATTAATGATTCACCATCCACAATTTTCACGCTTGGACAAGTTAAAAAAAATTACACAAATCACTAGACGATGTTTTTACAAAAGCTTGATTTAGATTTATATGCACATTCGTCGTAGATACAGGTAGATAACTACGGAAATTCTACCATATAGTTACTCCGACTATTTTAACGACTACGGAATTATATATGCTATTCTATGATAATGGTTTCCATTATTTTCCAGTTTTTTCACACTAACGATAATATTGTTAATTTTTGGTACCATTGACATGAGACTGTTGAGTCACTATGATTTACACAATCGTCAAAGCTTCAGTCACAATACATATGATGATCATGATTTACTAGCAAGATCTGATTCATACAAGCTATCATATTAATATTATAGCAAAAATGTTCATTTGGATGTATTCAAGAGTAATAATTTTCATTTTAAAGCATAATTTATGTGTATAAAATATACAAATAAAAAAATGTGTACGACAATAACTGTGTAATTATATTAAAAATCCGTACTAAATCTAATCTATTTTCAGGCCTGCATCAATGTTAAAAATGAAGAATATTATTAGTTTTTAGTGGCACCTTGGAATTTTGAAGTTCCTTGAATTCGTTGCAGAAAAAATTATAATGAACATTAAAGTACTTAGTACAAGATTGATGTCAAAATTAAAAGCCATGATCATGTAAATAATGTTGCAATCATCAATCAATTCTTGACTAATAAATCATAGATTTTTCTAACAATTTAACGTGTAAAAATCAGTGAGTACTTTTCGATAGTAATTGACATGGCTTATAAGATATCACGATATCATATTTATGCGATTTTTGGTGTTTTTATGTTAAAAAATAATTACAAGTATTAGAATTTAGAACCTCTTATTCAATGTTTTTCAATGATACAAGACATCTTTTACTACATCAGCAAAGGTTTGTTAAAAATGTTCATTGTACTTTTTATGCAGTCTTACGAGGCTATCATAGATTCTCAATAAATCAATTCAGATCATTCAAGCGTTCGATACTTCATGATCAGTAATTATTTTTAAAACTACTCACATCAATATTATTGTTCTTAAAAATGTAAAATAAAATTTGTAAAATTTAGTTGTAAAATTAAAAGTTTTGATACGACGCGCAGAAATTTATTCGCGCCGTAAAATAAGACCAATTTTATGTGAGATAAAAATACATTCACACCTTGTAAATATATATATATATGTGTTTATGTATAAATATAAATGTAGGCAAACGATTCACACTCTTAAAAATATGTGTAAAATAACGTAGAGAGCAAATGATGTCAAATAATTATTTAAAGTAATTATTGCTTTTTAGTCATGCACTATTTAATTATTACTGTCAAGCAATTCCTGTAGATTAATGGATAAACGGATGATTGCCCTGAATACGTGAAAGTATATTTATATTCTATATACGCGTATTAATAATTTCCATTTGTTCGATAGTGTAGAAAATTCAGCTTTTTGTTATATACCACGACGGCGAAACTACAATCTTTCTTCATCTTATTCAAAAGACATAAGATTTGCGGGTAACGGCCTTCTGCCCATGGCACCTCGTACCGTCGCACGCAAATGTCGCAGCCATTGTTCTGAGCTATCTACTGATGTTGCTCGAAATTTGTATACGTTTCCTGTTGAAATTATTCAATGATTCGAGTTAAGTAATGTAACAATTTCAGCATATAGTAATAAAAGACATAGAAAAAGTAAAATGAAAAGCAATAAGTTACCTTTCTTTGGATCAGCTAATAAAAATGTATCAGAATGAACTTTATCATCCAATGTTTCAACAATCCACCCGAGTATCGATATCATTTTATATGGTTCTCTTTTGAAATCGCTTCGTTCACTTCTATTGATTGGATCAATACAACTGCATTAATAAGATAAAAGATTTTTGAAATTTGTTCGGTAATAAATCATTTAGCCGGAAAATATTACAAACCCTTTGAAGCATTTTGGTGCAAAATAAACAACCGAAGAAGCCCATAATTGTACCCAATAACGTTGCCATGTCGATACAGCTGGTTTACGACCATCTCGCAAAACAACTTTTCTTCTGAGCGATCCTTGCATGATACAGCGTGGCTCGATCGAGCTGTCAATATCACAGGGTAATACTTGACTGTTGTGAAAAAAGTATGAAATCGTTAATTTTATTGTAAATTTGAATTTAATACTAACTCCAAAAAGAAATATCTATATAACATTTATCATTTATACTAAATTTCACAGACATATGAATGAATGATATTGAAAATTAATTTACCTCTTTTTCTGTAACAATCTGCAATCCTCGCTCACTGCATCCGCAGGCGATCCAGGTGAATTGTGATCTAGATCTAGCAACTGAGCGCCTACTAAATGAGGTTCCTCCAGCACAGAATCATCTAAGAGATGCCTCGCCGTAATGTGAACAGCTTCCAATGGTACAGTAACGGATTTTCCAAAAATACTGCAATTACGCAAGAAATTAGTGATAAAATTTTTTTTCGAGCATTCTACTCGTTCTCATGCAGTGACTGTATATCTTCATAATTGAAAAAAAGCTTAAAGCTATGTATGAATATTTTTCGTGGATTTTAAAAACTGTAAAGGAATTTAACTACATTTTTTGTATTAACTTCTACTTTTTCATTGAATTTTCACCTAAAAAGTTTATTAGTTTTGCTTCATTATAAATTATAAATATATGCATAAAATAAAAAATTTGTTAATGAAGGACTAGACTTTGAAAAGAGGAGACATCTACTAAATATCCTGTTTCCTGAGATTATTATAGAAAATTGTTCGAAAAAGTTAATTAATTGTTTTATTCTGATATTCTCTAAATTTAAGAAGTTTTCAAAAACATATGGTCAATAACAACCAAAAATGTATCTGAAAAAGTTTTTTTTTAGTTCAGCTTAAGGTTTTTTTAATATAGATTGATTTGTATAACTAAACATGTTTTACAGCATGCTTGTAACTAGTTAAATTTACCATGGAAAACAAATATCAGCGTATTAATGTATTGTTAATAATTATTTAAATTAATAGCTACAACACGACCTACTAATTTGAAAAAAAAAAAATATTACACTAACAGGAATTCAAAATATTCACTTTCAATGAGGACAATTTATGAAATGAATGATGCTTTGCATGCATATTGGCTAGCCCAAAATTTGGGCGCTATGTTAAATTATACGGAGTCGTTAAATTAAAAAAAATAGCTAAAAATTATGATAGTTTGATTTACAATGTAATGCACTGATGTTTCTTGAATATAAATAATAACAGTGAATAATAATGCATAATCCTACAGAACGAAAGATAAAATAAAACATATTTTATAATGGCGCGCCTTACTCCCAAGGGACTCACCCAGGAGTGGTTGTATCAGGTCCGTATTTACCTCCTTGCTTATGAAAGTTGCGTGGGAGACTTGTACTACGAAATCTAATATAAATTCAGTAGATATCATTCTTTGGAGTTTTTTACATTTTAAAATTGTTCAGATCAATTTTTAACGCATTTGTGAGTTTTTGTATTTGAATGTGGGTAGAAGATATTTCTCCCACACTAAAATTTTCCAAAGAAAAAAAACGACATTGATACAGCGCAATCATTTGCTGAAGATAATAGTCGCTCTAAACAAAAATGTACATTATGAGAATGACAGTTTGAAATACTGCATAATGACAAGCTTGAGCGTTATTATAGCAATATCTATTCGAATCTAATATAAAATTAAGATAATTATACTGAAAAATTAATTTCTATTGATTATTATTAAAATAAACATTTAATTATCTTACTTCGTTCCTAAACTTCGGCATTTGCGATGACCAGGAACAAATTTTGTAGCTGCTGACGCTGTGTGCAAACGTAGCGAACCAGCGCAGCCTCGAGCTGGAGATAACGATAAAGCTGCTACACCTGTAGCGACGTTTTCAACAGATTCTTTGCTGCTACTCGAAGAGGGAATAGGTGAATTTGGCTCTAGTCTCATTGACAACCTGTAGAAAAAATTTGTGAGTGGAAAATGTATCACAAGATCTTATGATAGGTTTTACGTATTTAAGATTTCAAATACTGACTTGAAATGATCATCTTCGAGAAATTTTTGTAATTCTTCAATGTAGCGTACACTATTAAGATATCGCTGCACATCTGGTAATGGTATTATTCCAGGATATTCACAAGCTTGAAACATTGCTAATTTAGTTAAAACAGCATTCATTTTTGAAACACGTTGGTGATTATCTCCATTCTATGCAGAAAAAAGATTAAAATTACAATACAGTTTATTTAAAAATAATTAAAATTTGCATCAACAATACCTTTGAAGCTGGATGAGCCATATCTATATATACAAGATCCGTTAAAAATAATCCTAAGTAGGGTATACATGGCAGTTTAATGTTATCCATGTGTTCTCGAAGATTAGACCAATTGCTTTTATCATTAAATACTTCAGCGAGTTTGTCAAATGCAGCTTTGTCCTTTTTAGATAAATAAGCCCATGTTTTGTTGAGTCTAAAAATAAATTGAGGAAGAGAATATTAGTTTTTTGGATTAAATTGAAGTAATATTATTTTTGAAATAAAATTTTACCGATAAACAGAGGCACTATGCAAAGCTGAGATGATAGCAAATAAAGAATGTAAATTATTTAAATCATAAAGTTTCTTTGCAACCCTTATAAAATGAGCCAAAAATTCTGCTCGCATCTTTGGTGTTGGTGCATTTAATATTTCTTGAACAGTCCAAAAGCTTGTCTGTAATATGAAAATTAAAATAAATTAATCAATTTATTGGTAATTATTGGTAAACTTGACTTTAACATTAAAAATATTGTAGTACTAACATGATTAAATCGCCTTGTAAAACTAACAACATTTGGAGCTGTTATTAATTTGTTCTTTTTATTCCAAGAGCAATTGGATAATTCATGAGGTTCTATACATTTGAAGACGCAAGCATCGAGTAAGGTAAGTTGTGACGCTAGGTCGTCAGCTGAAATCTCAGTGGCAACTGTTGTATTTGGCACTGGCGAACTATTGTTACAGCGCCCTGGTAATGAGTTGGATTTGCTCTCTGCCGACCTGTGTGACAAATTAAGAGTGACATAAATGGATAAGTTCTATTTAAAAAAACCAAATTTTAATTAACAACATGCTAATAACAATATTTTGAAGTACACACCCATAATTTTCATAGCTGCTTGATACACTTGGTGGTGTTAGTTCTGAGTACTTTCTAAATGATTTATTTTTTTCTTTATGTTCTTTTCGATCTAAAAGACTCTTGTCACCTGCATTTAGATCAGCAGGTAACAAGAGTCTATTAACTGAATCGTTTGGACTATAGGTTTTGTCTGCGCAGTCATTGTTTCCAAACTATAAAATAATAATGAAGTAGATATTAGTTTTTTAAAATGTGTAAAAAAATTTTATTAATCTTAATACACACCTTAGAAAGTCGGAGACTTGTGACTGATTCGGTTAAAAAATCACGGGGCATTGGGGAAAAATGCAAATCAGCCATGGAACTGAAGCAACTAGCGGGCGCATGGCATTTTTGTTCAATTTCTGAAAATCCCTTGCTTTCTGCAAACAAAGAGAAATAAAAATGTTAAATCGATCAGACTTTATTGCTCACAGTTCATTCATTCATAAATTTAAAGCTTCAGTGTTATCTAACATAAGCCATAGAATTGAGCTAATCACTTTAGCACTGATAACTTGCACTGATATCACACGAGCAAGAATGTGAAAATATACAAAGAATGTAATAGCTGTCAAGATAAGTGCTGCCTTACTCTAAATTAATGTACCAATAATTTTTCCATAAAACCATCAAGATCACGAAATTTGGTAATTAAAAGACATCAAATTTGTATAACTTTTTTTGTTTACACTGCCATGATCAATGGTTTCAAAACAAAAACAAAAATGTCGAGAGAAGTCGGTTGGGTCGATAAAATTGTGCTCAATAAACGAAACGAACGCGACGAAGAGCAACTATTCGACATCCTGCCTCGCTATACTGGAAGCTTTGAGAAATCTTGCCCTGTCACCGAGTATAGCGACGAAAAGCTGCTCATGACAACTTTCCCGACCACTTATACATCATTTGTTCACTTTTTGTCGCCTCGCACTCACATAGGCGCAATATTATACACCAGCACATATACACATCGAACTACTAACCCTATATATTAAAGGCAGCGATAGCGAATTTTCATCGATTGCGTTGCATCGAATCTCTCACTTGTATACACACACACGCGCAAAAACGAACGTAAACCCCACGTAATATGGTTTCGATCGGAATTGGGGAAAAACACACGAAATTCCTCGTCGCTATTGCGAAGAACGGAGACTGTTTTGCCGACAATTATATTTGCATTTTATCGGCTATATAGCCTACGTATAATAAACACATCGCAGGCGGATCAGGCCTCGCGGACTATCTGAAAATGTCAAAAGACTTTCCCCGCAACGAAATCACAACAAAATAACTGTCGCTCGACTTTCTCCGCGTCTCGGCTTATATCGCCGCATGCATCGGCCCCGCGATCGTATAAGTGGCTAGGCATAAATTGATTACTTGGGTATTTTTTTTTCTTTACCTCGGAGCTATACGTTCTATATACTTGAGTCGTTTGTTTTCGTATAGTATCGCGACGAGACGGTGCCTGCGAGGGTGTTCGCACGCACTACAACGACGACGACCCACGCAGAGAAAATAGTGTAGTACTGTAGTGTATACAACACAAGGTCGACTATGTGCTGCACTTGGGGGTCCAACGCGCGACGATGGAGTATTCTGATTTTCCGTCGCGCAATAATATTTTTAGTATACTATGCGAGATCGCGCGCGCACACATGCACTACTATTTGCAGAGCAGAGTGCATAAGATACGACGGGCGACGACTCAGTCTCGGAGTCACGTCACGACGACTGCATTTTTTGCAGTTTTGGTACGCGCATGCGATTCGTTCTGTTACACACAAGCACACACACGATATATTATACACACGGGGCGACGGGTGTTGGTGATGTGACACAGAGGCAGCCAACGACGCACACATGCACGTTAAAAGACTGCACACACAGTTATATCGCTGCGTAGCCTACATAAACACACGCAGTGCAGCGCACAGACTCACCGCAGACGGTTGGGGCTATGTAACGAGAGCGATGATATTTGTATACTACTACTACTACCGCTGCAACTGCGATGCAATAATTGCACGGCAACGGCTTATATTATACGGAGTCACGACGACGCCTGGCGCTTATACTATACTACTCCACACAGTCCACTGTCGCCGCCGAGTTCTGTGCAGCTGCCAATTCAGCCGCAGCGGAGCAAAGTCACGAGCCCGGCAGCGCAGCGCGTCATCGAAGAGTTCGAAACGCTGCGGCGCCGTTTATTTTTGACAGATTATATCGCAGCCAGCTTATGCGTGCTTAAACGCTTAATGCTATAATACCATCGTTATGGAGTTATCTCGAGAACAATATAATGCGAAATCGAGCGCTTTTACGTTTTTTATTCGGAGGTTTGGCAATTGGGTTTCAAAAAGTTTCGAACATCTGCTGCAACGTTCGAAACCTTTCCCAATCTACATCTATACTCTATATCTTACTCGTGAAATCACACCAAACCATCTGTATATTATTTACATGATTATTATTAATGTATAGTTTATCACCACGGGTCAGCGCAACATTGAAATATCTTTAGCGAAATGTATACCATAAAGAAAATTGAAAGTTGATACTAGCTCGCGTTACGCATTTACTATAATTTTTTAATCGAGTTAATTTTAAGATACAAATTGTATACAATTTCAAAATAAGTTGAATCTACGTCAATAGGTGTTTTTAATGATGTATAAGAAAATTATGACGTTTGGAATGTGTCCATGACTTTCAATGTTTTTTTTTCTTTTCTTTTGAGGTATCAAAACTCTGGAGGTAATAGACAAGCGAATTGATATAGATTGTTGGAGGATATTGTCATACGTAAAAATTCGTGCGAAATATCATTCCACTTTACATACTTGATACTTGATCAAATCTTTTTGGAATGATGATCAACAAAATTAAATTAATATTATAACAATAATGTATTTTCAATTTTCATGGTAGTCATAAAAAAAAAATTATTTATGTTGAATCTTAAATTTTTTGTGCGTATAATTTTATAATTTATGAAGGATAAAAAAATTAATATCAAAATCTTTGACAGCATGCGCAATAAATAATACAACATTTTCAAAAAGGTAGTTAATCTTTACCTATTAATTAATTTATAATTATGTAACCAACATTGAATCTACAAGACGTGCCATTAAATAATTTTGAATTGGCCGCTTATCCAGCAATCAGCGCCTCAGCTGCAGACGGCGCAAGCTCATGTGCTGTGACTCGTACCGCGCATGTATCAAAACTCATAGCGTATTTTTCGAATGCCGCATGCTGCTAGCGGCTAGAGTCCAACCGTCAAGCACGTGTCGTCGGCTCTGCTCAGTACACAACCCCAGTCCCCACGTGCTGTTCTTAAGTATACGTCAAAACGATTTTTTTAAGCCCATCACAATGTCTTCCGTACAAGAAACATCGGCTTTGGATTCGTCTCCTAAAGTCGAGGATAAAAGTGCCGTGCCAGAAACTTCGTCGTCGCAATCGTCGCCGAAAATTGAGGAAAAATTTGTCGTAGAAGAAATATCGCCCTCGAAGACATCTTCCGAAATTGTGAATAGTGATGCCGTGCAAGAAACACTGGCTACAGATTCATCTTCAAAAGGTGAAGAAAAAGCTATCGTCCAAAATTTGTCCCCCGAGTCATCTAATCACGCGGATCCCGTGCAAGAAACATCGGTGACAGATTCATCTTCAAAAGACGAGGGAAAAGCCGTTGTGGAAAATTTGTCCACCGAATCATCTCAGCATGTGTCATCTGAATGTTCCATGCAAGAAGAAACATCAACCGCCGTAGATTCATCTTCTGAAAACAAAGAAAAGACTGTCGAAGAGGCTGCCGCGCAAGAATCGGCCTCAAAGTCACCTCCTGTAATTGTGGATAAATATGCCGTGCGAGAAACACGTGCTATCGATTCGTCTTCTGAAGAAGACTCCGATGAGGACTCCAGTAGCTCAATTTCATCGTCATCATCAACTTCTGAAGATGAAGAAGAAGCTGCTGCGCCAAAAACCAAACCTCAACAGAAAAAACAGAGACAAAAAAAAGAGAATGATTTTAAAGGTGAATATGATGATTTGCCACCTATTGAGGACCTTAATATATCAGTTCCAGAGGTTCTGGTTGATGAGATAGGCGAGGTAAGTTTTTACGTTTTCTTATAACAAAATAGTTTCAAATTAAATTATTAATGCTAGTGTAAATTAAAAAATGTGCTTATTGTCTAATTTTTTGATCGTATATTTTTATCCAGGTTGGATGGTTTGCTGATCAAATGGTTGTTGTTCGTTCATTACCAGGCAAACCAGTTGTCAATTTAGATACTGTACTTTTTCTCAAACGAGGAGAAATACCCCTCGGTAAAGTTTTTGATGTGTTTGGGCCGGTCAAAGACCCTCACTATTGCGTGAGATTCAATAGTAAAGAACATATTTCAGAGCGAGGTATAGAACCAGGCATGAAAGTCTACTTCTGCTCAAGTAAACCAGAATACACATCACTAGTTTTCCTTTCTGAGCTTACCAAGTAAGTTTAAAAATTATCTCAAAATACTTATTTTAATTAATACCATACATTTTGGATAGTGTTACAAGTGTATAATACCTAACAAATTGATCTATTTTACTTTTCATGCTTTTAATTGATTTTACATTTATTTTAAATGAGAAAAATAGTTTTCTCAAGATCAAATTTTTGTCTTTCATATTCAAGGTTTATCTAAAATTAAAAATAAAGTAGTCATAATATTTTATAAGAAAAATGACAGACCCATTTGATTTTACGTAGCATTCTAATGATTACTTCAGATGTAATTTTCAAGTCATTGTATACTCAAAGTTGTAAATTTGATCTTAAAATGATCATATTAGAATTAGAATATGTGTAACTGATATTTCATTTAGTATTCAGAATAAAATAATATAAATTATAATATTTAAAATAAAATTAATTTCAGGTTGAAACCTTGTGAAGATTTAAATGATGATGATGATCCGCAATTTTCTGATGATGAGGAAGAACAAGCATATATGGCTAGAAAAGAATCTTCTAAAACTATTACAAAAAGTAATAATACCACTAAAAGTAATAACACCACCAGAAATAATAACAATACCAAAGGCTTTGGTAATGCTAGAGGAAATCCTAGAGGACGAGGAGTACCTTATCAACGAGGTAAATAAAAATATTCATTTTATATAACTGTAACTATAATCCAGTTTTTTATGAATAATAAATTTATGTTAAAACTATGTTAAAATTACTAGGAAAAAAGCAAGGTGGCATGCCAAACACTTCTAGGGGTCTGCAACATCAAGGTCCAAATGCAAATAGACCAAATCCATTTTATCAGACAAATTCATGGTCTAGACAAAGATATCAGCAACAAAATAATTATTTCTGGCCGCAACAAGGATATCAAATGCCACCTGCTCCAATGCCATTACCAAATATCCAATTTCCAGTTACTCAATTCCCACCTGGACAATATCCAGCTAGTCAATATCCTTTACCTCAATATCAACAGTTTCAATATCCACCTGAATATTGGCAAATGCAATATGTGGTCCCTCAAAATAATTTACCACCAAATTTAGGGCTTCAACAGACTTTGACACTGCCTTTTGGTACACCACCTCCTAGGCCACAATCTCCTGCCCAATTACCTCCTGCTCAATTACCTCCTGCCCAACCAAAAAATCCTCAAGGTAAAAAATAATGTATTTATTACAAAATATAAAGTGTATAATAATAGCATAACATTTTTATTGTTTAAGTTTGTAAAATGTATTTTTATAATAAAATAATTTTTCATTTTTATTCTTTAGTTATCTATTAATTAATACCATTGAATTATAAATAGAATTTTGAATTTTGCTTAATCTAATTTTAATTTCAACTAGATAAAAAAGAATCTTCTTTGTACTTTGCCATTAGTGGTTCATCCAAAGATTTAGCAGCTACATCTATATCACTGTGTATAGCAGTAATAAGTTCATCTAAAAGTAATAGAATTTAATACATAAGTTATTTGCATATGAACTGAGTGAATTTCAAGTATTTTTTGTACTTACCAACAGAAGTAAAATTAAGCTCTGGACGGACATATCCCAATACTAAAACTTTCAATTCCTTCCCATAAAAATCATTTTCAAATTCATGGAGTAAGTGTACTTCCTGTAAATGAATCCATAGAAATAAATTTCCATTTTTTCATGTAATATGCAATAATATGCAACAGTATGCAATTTAGATTACCATCGATTTTTTTTCATTTTTGTAAAAAGGATTCCAACCAATACTCATCACCATTTTATAAATTGATTTTTCTAAAGAAGCCCACCCATAATAAATTCCAGTTTCAAATTCAGCTGGTAGTGCTTCAATGACTTCTTCTGGTAAATTAGCTGTAATTGCAATATAAGTTTTAATGAAACTTTTATCCTGGAATGCTCAAAATTTGAAAATTAGGGCAACTACCTGTTGGACATCCTAATGCCTTTGACCCTCTACCAAAACCTGCTATAACTTTTCCAGCAGCGTAGTAAGGTAAATAACTTTTGGCAACCATTGTTAAAACTTGAGTACTATTTTATCATGCACTTGATGCGGCCTGAAATGAAATAAAAAAGTTTAATAGAAGCACACAAAAAAATTTAATTTATCACATGATATTCAATTCAAGTAATACCGAAAATCATCATGAATCAACAACACTCACATTCAAGCTTTGATCAAATAAAATTTAAGTTTTATGTAAATCACTCAAAAATTGACCAAATAAGTATTAAAGACTTTAAAAAGATTAATTTTTAAATAATCGGTACGATAAACACGTAACGGCAAGTTATTCACATTTGAAACTTATTGCGAAATTGTTATTTATTTTTTGGAAATGTCAAGAGACCACCTTACCATACGAAGTGTATTTGACGTATCACAGCGATAGGTTATGGCTCGATTTCCTGCACATAGTTTCAAGTCTGTTAGCTTGATCGGTGTTATCTATTCATTTTATATATTGCACACACATTTTTATGAGTTATGTAAAATTCCATTCCGTACACGCACTTGGGTGTATACGCTGTGTATGTGTATGTGGTACGTCTAGTATGTCAAAGCTCTGCGTTTATATGCTTTCAAGGACTCGATTTTTCTTACACAATACCATCGACTTAAATCCGATCAGATGTGCAAAATGTTACTTTACAAAATGAATCAGCTTCGGCGAGCAGTCGATTTAAATGACATTTCGTTGATCGCGTATTATGCACGCGTAGCAATTTCGAGGATTTCGTTGCATCCAATTGCAGTGCGCTGGTGTGTCCATTTCGTATTGTCTGCAACTATATACCTAATACCTATAATGCAAAGCAGCTGATCGTAATTTTCGAACATATGAGCTTTATAGATATAAGCATTTAGTTACAAGGCATCACTCTGCATCAAAATTATCCAATGATAATCTTTTGGATTATTCTTTCTCATTGTTATATTTCTCACTACTGTACTTTATGTATGAAACGATAATTTATGCAAATATGCGCATGGAATTTCTTTGTAATTCTTTTATCTTTTATATTTTTATACTTCTGTTCTAAATTGGGAATATCTGTGTCTTTGTTGAGTCAATGATATTTTAGTGGCACAATGTTTTCAATAATTGATTTTTAATTTGCGCGAAACAAAAGCGGCGAACAAAAAAGCACACGTTCTCCGCCATTAAATTTCGCTGGACTTCACGTAACCAGTTTTTTCAGCTATTCGCCGGCGTAAAGTTTTTTTTTTCGCATTTTTGAAAACTTTTTACTACTCGTACGGAATACGATGTATTAACTCGTGCTACGTTTCGGACAGTCATGCTTCATGGATAAAATCGGTTGTAAGCCGAGCACATCCGAATTATAATCTATATATATCCCGCAAAACGTGATTATAAGCAATAAAACTCGTGCAGATAAGAATAAATCATCGATCGTATCGCACTTGTACATATACGCACAATCGTGTTTCGGTGTCATATAAAAACGGCTCCTCCACGCTAATACCCTCTATACAGCTTCTGCGTGCATTTATGGAACTTCGCGACGAAGTCGTAATAATAGTCGAGAGCTGGCACTTTTTTTGCTTACTTTTTTTATTAAAAAAATGAAATAAATAAAATGCATTTTTACCTTCCACCCAAGGACGCCGAAGCCGAAGCCAAGGTAAAAATGCAAATCGTTCAAACCCGTTTTTTAGTATAGAGACTCCCGCGCTGCGAATACATAATATTTTTCCAAATGGCTCTATGCTATGGGTGACCTTTGTTTTGACATTCTTTGGCAGAGATCATTGGGAAGAAATTCCAGAAAGCGGGTTTGAATATTTTTATTTTCGGCCTTATCAACTGTATGGAGTTATTTTACTATTTTTATCTTTGGCATACGTTGAAAATAATAAAAATAATAATGCCGGTGCATTATGTAAATGGATTCCAGATCGCTCTAAGCATTTATAAATATCACGATGTCATATTAGAAGATTTTGCGTTTGCTATGTACTAATAATTTCGTTTCCAAAACGTTCGCTCTTCTGCTCAAATATCAAATTAAATTTCAAAAAGCTAACAAAATCAAATGTCATCCTGTAATTATAAACCCATTCGTCACTCGTCGCTCGATATAACATTGTCAAATATCGATATAACATTGTAAAATCGAAAATTGTGAAAATTACTCAAGTCGTTAAAAATAATCATGAAAAAAAAAAAGAATAAATTGTCAGCAGTCCAGCGTAGCCGCGTGTAAATGAAAAAACGGCGTAAATTCTAAAAAAAATTTTCCACTGACGCGCGAAATTAGTCTTGCTTGTCGATGAAAAAAAAAATGCTGCAAATTGAAAATGAAACTCTCGAGTTGGCAGTAATTCTGTGTACCGATGTAATATAAGCTTCGTGCCTCGACAGTTTGCACATTTTCACGGTATAGTGCTTTTGTCGTGCTGCGAAAGTCGAAAATCGAAGTTCGCGAGTATAAAAGAAGTACGAGCCTAGCGCGCGTACAACGACGGTCATAAACTCGGCTGGATGCGCATCAATGTATAGTTATGTTGTTGCTCGGCAAAGGAAATAAAAACGACGTATTTTACCGCGTGGATCTTGGCAACAACGATTCGTCGCTAAAACGAAGTTTTCCGTCGGGAAAAGCACCAGAGATGACAAAAAGTTCGAGTGCTCGGGAAAACGCGCGGAATTGCGAGTCAACCGCTTGGCGAGCCACGTGTTGAGCAAGTGTCATATAGGGAGTTTATATATCGTTGACGGTCCGTTAACGGCACGCGGGTGAACACACCGCGCGCGAGCGACCGCTCCAAAGCGCCGCGCAGCTTACGTGCTGCTGTTGCAGCCTTTCTGCTCTGCCTCTAATGCTTTTCGCAGCAGCGGCCGTGTGTTCTTCGCGCACACATGTGTATTTGCAATGTAATATGTGTGTGTCCGTATGTGTGTGTTATATAGAGAGCACACGAGAAACGCGCGCGAGCGAGAGAGAGACGCTCTGCTCGAGTTTTAGCAGGCAGTACTAAACTACTAACTGCCATCCCGATATTCCCCGCGACACAAACACGGCACGGCACAAACACGACGTCGTATAGTCGTCCCCCGGAGTTGCGCGTCGAGCAGTCAGTCAGTCAGTAATCAGTATCAGGCCTGGACATCGCGAATCTCTCCTTCTCGTTGTCGAATGCGTCGGCGGCTGTCAGTGCAGCAGTAGATAGAGTTCGTAAACGTCGTGCATTCGTCACATGCCAATTCGATCAGAGACATAGACATAGATATATAGAGAGAGGAGCAGTCGACGCGAAGTTGCGAATCGTCGCGGTGTGCGAAGATTCTGTGAGACTGTGTTGTTCGTTACAAGTTACAACTGCGAGAGGGGCACTTTTTCGAAGAGGCCCGTCGTCGCGCGCGCACACGACACAAGTATATAACAATCGCACACACGCGAGTATCTGTGCACGTACGGCATTGCTTTTGCCTTTGGCTTATTTATTATTATCTGTATATCGGTGCGAGAGTGATTATTGTGCGACGCGACGTTCAAACACCATCGCTCGAGAGCTCCTCAAGTTTCTCTCTCTCTCTCTTCACGGGTGAAATTCTATATCCAACTACACACATCACACGTATCCACCGCCGCTGCCGCATTATATATACTCGTCAACGGCAAGACGACGACGACGACAACGACGACGACACCGATATTTAACGCTGCAAAAGAGACGAAATGTATCGTGACAATTTGTAGCGGCTTTTAATAGTTGCCATCCGTGCGTTCGACAGTACTACTACGCGTGTTGTGACGACGCAGTGCATATAAAAAAATTAAAAGTTGTCGACGACGACGATCGAAGCTCGCCGAACACAATTTTTCCGTAACTTTGGACGAGTCGAGAAAAAACCGAGTGAGATAGAGGAAGAGAGAGAGAGCTTTGGCTTGACCCGGTCATTATGAAGAGCTGAAATAAGAAAGAGGGAAAAGAGAGCCAGAGGAGGAGAGATAGATCAAAATTAATTGCCATCCGAATGGGGGACCAAATGTCATTCACAGCAAGGTGAGGACACGAGACATGTCTTTTTTGTCGTTCTTGTTGTTGTTTTGCATCTCTCGCAGATAGCGCATAATTTTTTGCCTATACACACATATCTCTGTGTGAGTGTATAACGTATGCATGCATGTTGTTCCCTTCTTCTATCCTACGTGCATATGTGCGTGCGCGCTTGACTCTCTGGCTGCGTACGTGCGCCAGAGCAGATCGCATGCAGCAACGGATGTATATATATCGTGTTGTTATACACTTATATATATATAAAATACGGAGCAGAGAGTTGCCACCGTGTGTGTCTGTGTGTACCGCATATTATTGTATACATACACACATGTATGCCACCGATACGTATCGCTGCTACTTTATATTTACGTGCACACGAGGACTCTACCTACTACCACTACTCAGCTCGCATGTCCTCGTGCTGCTTTTTCGAGAGGTTTTTTCACCCCGGCTGTGTAGTGCGACGTTTTCTTTTTTTTACTGGTCTGCGCGCGCGCGCGTCTGGATAAATGGAAAATCAGACTTATACTTTAGATGTAAATAACAGACATGCAGCAGCTCGTATAATACGTGTGTTACATATCAAATTATATAGATGTGACCCGATGGCAGCATAATATGACACACACAACACCGCAGCGGCATATATAGGTAGTAATATGTAATCGAGAGTTATGCTACATAATTGGGAGGTAAGCTCGCGAGCGCGAGAGCACATGTAAACATCACGCGTAGTAGTAGCAGTAGCAGCGCGAAAATTGCGAATCGGAGCAGATGTAACAGATAAAGCTTGATAATCCTAGCCGAACGTGCCTCGATGTACACGTATAGCTGCTCCTTAAATTTATAAGTAACTGCGAGGTGGTACAGCTATTCTGACAAAAATGCGCACTTGTCCTCTGCTTCGATACACCACGCAAGTACTCGTAATCGAATACGTATAACATGATGGATCATCGGAGATTATTAAATCGACACACGTACTGGGGCTCGTCTCTATCTCTCCGATCTCGTTAATGGATCATAATACGAAACAAATACGAAATGAATATCCCGAAATCGTATAACTTTCTAATCTCGCGCGGCACAATGACTTAATTGCCGCTTCCATTGTCTGTGCGCCGCGCGGCACCCGATTCATCGTCGTTTCTGGTTTTTAATTGTAGGACGCGCCGCGAGCATCATTATGTACTCGGATTACACCGGACAGGAAAACTATACTATTACTCTAAAAAAGTCTCCGCGCGCACCATATTTGGCCTTTCTTCCTTAATGTTCTCGGCCGTTCCATTGGTATGAGCGAGATAGATAGTTAGAGGCTGCGCTACTGTACGGTGGCCCAGTGGTCTTATAAGAACCGAAACCCCTTGCCCGATTCATCAGTACAAGCCGAGTCTTCGAGCAGTGCATAACGCGTCATTTTTTCTTCAAATCTCATCTTCCACGAGTTCCAGAGTTTTAAACTGTAAGTACCTTAGCTAATAACGCACGATAAACTCCGCGCGGGCGCTTTGCAATATTACTATGACAATTGTTGTTGGATTAATTTTAACTATGAATTATCGACGTTTATTATTTATTTTTTTTTATCGTTTTAACTTAATTATCGAACGATATCATTGGGAATAGTGTCGATCGAAACATCTCAACCTCCAGCAGCGTAGATTTTTATTCGTCCGTGATAAACTACGCAGCAACAGGGTGTACGCGCTAATGTTTATATGTAGACGCGGCGGGCCCCCGCGCTTTTATTTACTACGCCTCGCGTGCGCAAGTGTGTTTGTGTGTACCTTATAGGCACGCGGCGCGAGTTTGTGTTTTTTCGTCTCTCGAACGCGTCACCCACACTACTGGCGTGCACGTGGAGGTATACATCGCTGCGCGGCCTTCTAACTCGAACTTCGTACTACTACGCCGGGGATCTAGCTGCAGCTAATCCCGAGATTATTTTTTTAATTTCTGTTCATTGCTTATACGACCTCGTTCTTCGCGCGGTTGTAGTGGCTATATCTATCGTCCTGCGCGCGGGGGTGTTTCGGAGAGCAGCCGCTCAGCTGATAACTTCGCATTGACATATCTCTAGAAGCGTCGCGTTTGATCGATGCCGCGCGTCGGTGCATACATTTTCTTTTTCGCTCTCTCTCTCACACTGACGACATCTGCTTCTAGATAAATATAGATAGTTGTTGATTACACCAGATTCGCATAGTAGTAGTAGTAGGAGTAGAGAGAGAAGCCCTATCGGCGATGAGCGCATTACAAAGCTACGCAGCTCGCGCGCCTGTATGCGAAGCAAAAATTGAAACACCGGCGCCGCGTGCGAAGCAGAGACAGAGAGAGAGAGACCTTCCCAAGGTCGCGGCCGTACTTGCTTGCGACCTTTGCCACGCTTTTATTATATATAGGTATATGAAACTTACTGCGCGAAGCATCTCGTCGTGTTTTTCCATGAAAAACCACCTGATTTCTGTCAAGTTTATCTCGAGGTGTCCGCTCAGACACCTAATTAATTATATTTTATAAGTTTCTTGGCCTTAACGCGTTGTTACGTATTACGTGGTGATTTATGTTTTTCAAATGCAATTCGTAAATATTTACTGCATTGTCGAATAGTTCGATTTTTGGAAAAATACTTCTCTCCTTGTAAAATCGAAACTCTTTTTTTCAAGCAATTATTGCTCCAAAAATGTTGAAATTCCTAGGCCAGAAACTCGTTATTTATCTCGATATTGCGAAACCGAGACCGAAGAAAAAAAAACACATCGCTATATTTTTTAAAAATAAATTTCGATACATCGTGTGGTGGAGGTGTGCTCTCTCGAAAGTGTCATGTATGTACTTTTCGATACACGCAGTAGAGAGAGGAGCGCCACACGTGTTTGACTTCTCATTGGTCGATCGACGCCGGATCATTGCCCCCTTCGATTTCATCTCCCGCACATGTGTGCTCGCGTGTGTAAGTGTCTGAGTATGCCGCGCCGCTCTCCGAAAAAGCGTCGCGTTTCTTAATCAAAAAATATAAAAAATTTTTTACCGAGTAACGTACACGAGATCCAGACGTGTACTAGTCGGCTTCTCGGCGCGGGCCCACGCGCTGCACGTGTTGGCTGTACTTATATATATACTGTGCGCGTCCACCCGCGTAATAAAAAGTCAACGCTCCGTCGGTACGCATAGAGGCCTCTATATATCTCGATCTCACCATTGATATTTTAAATCGAATCGTGTGCCCGCGCGTGTGTTTATATATAGAATACGGAAAGATATCTTTGACTCGCGAATATTAAATTCAAAGCTCTCGGAAAAAACTGGACGAAATTTTGGTACGTATTTTTGCAAAGCCCTGTTTGCGTATCCGGAGTTAATTAATGTTAACAAAGTGAACGATTCAAACGTCAGAGAGTAACGATACGAGATCGAATGTATTGTTGTTATTTTGAAGCGTGTCTGCCAACGTCATTCCCGTCGATACGTCTGCTCAATAAAAAAAAACAGCACACGTGTCTTCCCCAACTTTAATAATTGTACCATCGATATTATTGATTTCTATCGTGAATTATTGAGAGACGTTTTTATATAATAATAACGCACTCGAAAGAGAGACATTTTTTTGTCTCGCATAAATTTTCATTGTTAACTTCAGCAATTACCGCATTCTAAAATTTAAGCTCAACGTGTCAACGATCGAATGCGCCGATGAAACATTATTATTTTATATATTTTTCTTTCATAATGTATTCGCTCGACCTTCCTGAAATAATACATCGGTCGACACTCGAAAGATTCTCATTATCGATAGGAAAATCAATCTTTGTCATCCAAGTACTACAAACAAATTAACCTCGCCGGGGGTCTCTCTCGTCGTCACATTTTTTTATCTTCGCGGCTTATGCCGTTTCTTCTCGATATAAGTTATTCCGCTGCGCTTGCGCGGCTTTTCAAAAGTGTTGCAATTCTACTTACGCCGTCGAATACGTGTGTGTTGTTACATTAGGTAATTCGCCCTGTAATACAGCGTGTTGAGCGTACTTCTTTTCTCACCTATCTATCGCACTTTTTGAAATTACAAAAAAATTTCCATTACCGGCTAGAAATAGAGCGGTTCGAGCTAGAGTTATACGCTTTCGTAAAGTTTGTTTTCGCGACACAATCTCTCCAGTTTAAGTTATCAAACACATGTGGGTTGCTCGGAGATGTCTGTGATTTAATTCGGTGATATAGCTGTAATGATCGTCGAAACATTATCTCGTTTAGATTTGAAATTATACACAGTTTAGAATGTAAAGCGTGCATATCATTGAGATATTTTTAATGCTCGATTTAGATAAGGAAATTATAAATTTAATTGCAGTTTAGAATTATTACGTTTCGAATTTACCACGATTGCGTGTGAAATCATTTAAAAGCTAACAATTAGTTTCTTCGTAACTCGAAAATCTGCGCATACATTTTATCCAATTTCATTCGCGCGAAAACTACAGAATTTGAGCTAAAATGTGTCGAATAACCAGCAGTCCACTCGGGTCAGATTCGCTTTCTATAGGCGCAATTTTTCTCTTTTGTTTTGAATGTTACTGGCACGTGTCAAAAAATCCAGTTCACATCCCGTATAATTGAAAGTCGATTTAAATTTATTTGGATCGATCTCGATACACGATCTCGAGTTTTGAATTAATTGGTCGCGCTCGTAAATGGCAACGTGCGTACAAAAGAACATGTTTGTACATCTAAAGAGACGCGCGTCACTTTTACGTACATATGTACATAAGTGTTTAAGCGAGAGTAAAGATTTTATTTTCGAAGCAGACTCGCGCCGATGATGTTTTGTCAATCTCGGGGCACGTGTGCGATGTACATGCTCGATTGCCTCGAATTTCGAGCATCGCCGATCGTATACTGGAAATAAGAAATCGTGGGCTCTTAGGCAAAAATCAGATACATAAACTAGCGAAAAGTTGTTTTAGAACTATTGTATGTAGCATTTTTTAATGCTTGAATTCAACGGCTAACAATATTTTGATGAATATTCAAGGACCCATCAATACCTATTTTTGCAGCTTTTTCTATCTCTGACAATGAAATTAATCGATGTTTTGTTTTTCTCTCCTCCTGTTTCAGCTCCAGAACTCATTTATAATTGGTGGTTTTTCGTGAAAAAACCTTGAACAACACAAAATGGTTTCTTCGATTTCGGTCAACGGGGACGCCGAGGGCCTCAAGAATGCGCCGCTGAGACTCGAAGACGAACAGCACACTTCTCGAATCTTAGCCTCTCTCTACACGATGAAGAAAAACAGAACCTTGTGTGACGTCATTTTACACGTGAGTACATATACATACACAAGATATAATTCGCTTATGTTTGCGGTTAATATTATCGAAGCTCTACTCTCGATGATGCACGATATAATTGAATTTTAATATGTTTTCCACATACACACAGGTTGGTAAAGGACAAATTCAGGGTCACAGGGCTATTCTTGCCGCGGCGTCTCCGTATATTCTCGAGCAATTAACCGAAAAACCGACCCACGAGTTGGTTGTTACGATACAATTAAACGACGATCTTGACATCGGAGCAGTTAAGAAGCTCGTCGACTATGTCTACACATCCAGGTAATTTAATACATCCTTTTACTTTTTTTTCCTAATAACAGTTGTAGATTCGATCGCAAATAGTCCGATCTCCTCGGCTGAAAAGCAAATCAAAAGTTCATATAAACGTATCTCTTGTAATCGGGTAAAAACACAGTATACCTCCCGCGATTATTTACGATTGGCACGTGCATAGTCGCGAAAGCAAAAAAAGCATCTTTTTCCTGATCTTATCTGCTGATAAGAATCGCTTTGCCACGATATCAATTATGCAACTTCAAAATTTCCACTCTATTAATAGATCGAAATTTTTTCAAACTAACTCGCGTTCCAGTGTGCTTTTTTCGATTTCTAATTACTGTAAATTATGCAAGTTTTCAGCTGCAAGCGTCGAATATTCGTAGTTTTATGAAAAATGTTGCAAAGTTTATGAAATAGCTCGGAAACCGGTGCGGCTTGTAACGCTATATAATTAGTAAGATGCAATTTTGTTAAACATGAAAATGTTAATCGTTCACGCAACAGGAAGTTAATGTAAAAAATGTATAGTTTTGTCTATTTGCACACTAATATTAATAAAAAAAACTCTGACTTTTTTAGATTGGAAATACAAGAAACGGAGCTCGAGAAGGTCTACGTCGCCGCGCGGGCCTTGAAAATGGAAGGCGTCGCAGCCCAGTGCGCGACTAATCTGCTGGAGAGATTAACGCCCAAGAAAGCCCTTGACATTCGCGGCATTTCTCGTATCACCGACAACGATGCATTCGTCAAGCAGGTTGAAAACTACATCCGCCAAAACGTAAGTTAATGTTCATTCATTCAATCGTTTATTTGAAAAAGTAACCGATGATTCACGTTATTGCGTTATACCTTACAGCTCGCGGAAATTTTCGAAAGTCAATCCTTCACATCGGCTCTGCGCGTGAAACTCGAGGTGCTCTACCAAACCAGCCTCGAGATGGACCTGGTGAACGAGACGAGCCTCGGCTACCTGGTCCTCGACTATCTCAAGCGCTTCCTCGAGGAGTGCAACTGCAACTTCGACCTGCTGACGGAGAAGAAGCACCTGCTCTATCTGGCCCTGGACAACAGTCTGCAGGACTGCTCGGAGATACCGAGCGGCGACAGCACCGAGACGGATCTCGTCATCGATTACAAGAAGCTGTCGCACAAGACGTTCACGCTCAACAAGAACAAGAGCACGAAGAAGCTGAATCCGGCCTCGCCCCGAGTGATCATCCTGAATCGCGACACGATCGAGTCGCTGGAGGATAATGTCGAGCTCGACTGGAACATGATCGGCAGCATCAAGTCCGGCGAGCACACGTATCTGGCCGTGGTGACGCTCAACGGCCGCGTGGCCAAGCTCTCGATACGGCTGCGCCTCAATGCCCCTACGTCCCCTTCGCACGGTGCGGGTGGTGCCGGCGCCGACGAGTTGCACAGCTCCAGCAGCGAGCCCGAGCTCTACTGCTCCATCTCGCCCATGAAGTCGGGCAAGTGCTCGTTCGGCTGCGCCGAGTTCAACGGCGCTCTACTGGTTTGCGGCGGCTACGACCGGGTCGAGTGTCTGAAGACCGTGGAGAAGTACGTGCCGGAGTCCAACACCTGGGAGCCGCTGCCGGCGCTGAACGAGCCGCGCGGCAGGTTCGACATGGCCGTGCTGGACGGTAAGGTTTTCGTGGTCGGCGGATCCAACGGTTCCACCGAGCTGGCCACCGTCGAGATGTTCGAGGAGGGCCAGAACAAGTGGAAGACCATGGCCAGCCTGGACTTGGCCAGATCTTACGTGGGCGTTTGCTCGATGGGCAACAAAATATACTGCGTCGGCGGATGGAACGGCAATGTAAGTATTATTTTATTCAACGTTGACTCACCCCAATGAAAATATTTTATAAGTTCTTAGGCAAGATTTTAAAAAGATCTTGATAAAATTTTAAGACATCTGGTAGCAAGTTCTTATATATAAGATCTTGATAAAACTGGAAGACTTCAGGTAGCAAATTCTTAAGAGAGTTTTTGATTTCATTACTAGACTTGAAGTAACAAGTTCTTATATAATTTGAATTTCATGATTGTGATGAAGTTTTACTATTTTATCAAGATCTTATACAAGAACTTGCTACCAGATGTCTTACAATTTTATCAAGATCTTTTTAAAATCTTGCCTAAGAACTTATAAAATACTTTCATTGGGGCAGTGATGATTCATCGACAGCAAATTAACGAGATATTTTTCAACCTCTAGACCGGAATCAAACAGTGTCACGTCTTCGATCCCGAAGCCAACGCGTGGACGGAAATCGCGCCTCTGAAAACCGGTCGCTATCAAGCCGGCGTGATCGAGCTCGACGGCAAAGTGTGGGTGATCGGTGGTTGCGACTCGTGGAACTGCCTGACCTCCGTGGAGATCTACGATCCCGCCACGAACGAGTGGACCGAGGGCCCTAGCTTGCGCCAGGCTCGTCGCGGTTGCGGCGTCGCCGTGTACGAGGGCCGACTTATGGTCGTCGGTGGCTCGACCGGCACCCACAGTCTCACCACGACCGAGATCTACGATCCCCTTGACCGACAATGGACAACTGGACCTAGTATGACTACGCCAAGATCTAACGTCGGTGTCGCCGTAATCAGTGACAGGTAAATTTTTCTCGATTGCAGATTATATTAGATTGTTTTTTTTTTTTTTCAACTTTTTTTAACGATTTTATTTCGATACGTTGTAGATTATATGCAGTCGGTGGTTATTCCGGAAAAAGCTTTCTTAGCCACGTTGAGTATCTCGATTTTTATACGAACGAGTGGACCAATTTAGTCCCTAAATACGACGGCATCAGGACACCGCCGGAGTACTGTCCCTCGTCGGGCTCCAGCGCTCACGGCAGCGAAAAGGACATGCCACAGTCAACGTCGCACAGCGAAAAGCTAAGTAAAGCCAGCTCCGCGATCGAAAAGATTGTATAAATTAGTTACGTTATTTTATATTGGCATTAATCGACGTGAAAAAGTATATTTCATAATACCGTTAAGGCACTAGACGAGACAAGTACAATTTTAATGATTAATGCATAATTATAGACGCCAGTGTCGTCTGTGGTTTTCAAAAAAACCACCGTTTCAAGTTTTTGCGATCCTTGATGCTTCTGCCTTGTGATTTTACACGATAAAAGTAACTTCTCCAAACAATCATGTACAAGTGGAGATAAAAATTAATTTGATAAATATTAATTGAACCTGAATATTTTTGCAGTCTGAAAAATACCGATATTTATACTAAAAAATACAGTAATGTATTATTTCCATTAGTGATGAAGCATTTCTTTGATTCTTTTTTATTGATAAAAATCGATTTGAGTATTCTTTCATTTATAAATGATCGAATCTATTTTTCTGATAACTATTTATAATTGTAGTATTAAATGTTTAGTGATTAATTTTGTATGACTAAAGTTTCAATTGATTATCATGAAATTTGGTTTTTCTTGAAATTTTAATGAAAAGTCATAAGATTCTAAATTATTAAAGCGTATGTATATATTTTAATATTCTATTGTATTAAATTCCTATGGTCCATAAACTGCCATAACAAAATCAAAATGATTTGTAAAAAAAATGCCAGTTTTCATTCTAAAATATTATTCAACTCAAGCTGTTGAACTATGTTCAAACAAATTATTGTATCATCAGCATATTTTTTGCTACCCCAACAAAGATATTATTTCGCATCTGCATATCCAATATTATTTCAGTCAATTCACAATACAATTTCTTTCATCAAATCCACAATGTCAAACTGAAAATTTGATGATGCATCAAGTATTGATATACTGAAAATTTTTAAACACAAATGCACCTAGTTATTTACTTTGAAAAGTGTTACACTGCCACATACCGAAAATAGGATTTATTCCTGGTGAATAAAAACAAACTGCACTAAAACAATTGTCAAACTTTTACTGTCATTTATTGATGTCAAATAAATGAAAAACTGGGTCCAACATTCAATACTTGAAAAGTCTTAATATACCGAAAATAAATCTTCTAAATTTTCAGTATTTCATCAATACATTCTTGAAAATAAAAAAATATATGTAAAAATTATAGAAGCAGAAAGTATCAAGGGTACTGCTACTTAAATTGATTACAAAATTTTGAAATGTGAATGAATTTAGTTATTTATACGTTCAAACATTATAAATTAATTATAATTTGTCAATTTTTAATACTAAGAAAAAATTGCTGAGAAATTTGATTGTATTCTGTCCAAAATGTTATAGACATTTTACTTTGTAAAATGTTTAATCACCTGAGAATGAGGACAGATTTTCTAATTATAAAATATAAATTTGACACTTAATTAAGACAAAATTTATTCAAATGAAACTTATTCGCAAATGTTAAGACAATTAAAGATTGTATCGAAAAAAAATATTGTAAATATGGTGTGAATGTCAAAATGTTTTTGTAAAGCAAGTTAAAAAAATTATAAATGGTGAAGTATATAATAAACTTACAATTGTTAAAATAAAATTAATGTATACATTATTACCACCCGTCTATTTATAGATGATGAACTGAAAAGTGTTGCGCCTTTTTAACTGCGTAATTAATGCTTTGCACGTGAATTCAAATTTCAATTTCTTATTTAACTATCTTTATTTATTTACACGAAAATATTGTTTTACTTAAATCTGTAAAGATCGTGCAGATCGTTTATCGACCTCACGCTATTACAATGATTATTGCATTAATGAACATAATAAAAGTTTAATAAACAAAATTTTATTGGCAATGAAAATATTTTATTTTTATAATAAGTATAGATAACATTTTGATCAGGAATTAACAAACTATTTATATAAAATGTCCTTTATACAATAACTATCATTAATTAAATCTTTCAGTTCAATGATGTTTAGAATACATTATTCATTTGAAAAAAAATCTTGGCCAAATAAATAATAAATGTATTATGCTGTAAGTAAATTTCTTATAATTTTTTAATACATTCATTCACAATTTTTTAACTGTAAAAGGAAAAAGTTTCTACAATTCTCCATTAAGAAGTTTCTTATCAAATAGAAATTCGCCAATAGCTCCATGAGTAGCCATCATCTTTCCAAGTGTAGAGATTTTACCAGCCAAGTCCCGTTGGCCCTTGTACTGCTCATCCAAAAAGTCAGCAGTAAAGTAGTCAACCAGCTGTAAAAAAAAGGTTTGTTAGAAGAGTTAAAAATCAACAACTTTTGTTCTACATTTGATAGAATTTTAACTTACATGATAATCATTGAAAGGAATATCTTTGGGAGACTCGCAAGTCATAATGATGTCACGAATGCTTTTGGTGACTGAAGTTTCGAGGTTCAAGGCATCAGTAAGAGCCTCTACACCACTGTTCCATTCTTCGCGCAGGGGTTTCAGTGGGAACTTGAGCAACTTGCTTACATCGCTGGTCAACTGGCCACGCATTAACAAGTACTCTATGACTTTAATGGCATGCTCACGTTCTTCATTAGCAGCTTCAAAGAACATTTTGCTGAAGCCAGGACGATTGACAGTGTCCCTTGCAAAATGTGCTCCCTGTAAAATAATAATAAATTGAATTATTTTCTGATTATCTACATTATGAGAATCTATTAATACATATAATTGAACAATCTTTTCAACTCACCATAGCCAAATAAGTCATAGAAGCCTGAATTTCAGTTTTTACTTGAGCCTCAAGGACTTGGATACATGGGTTAACCATATCCTTCCATGCTGTAGGAACATCAGCAGGCTTCAAATTACCTATAAAATCAAGAATAATTATACCATCATTTTTAGGTTTTTTGCAAATATTGTTTTATAATAATTAATAGCATTGTGATAAATTATTGTAAATTTATCAAGAAAATATTGGAGATAAGAAGTTTAATAATTTGATCGATCCCATTTTAATTTTTTTAAGATTCACTTAGCAAGATATATTATCAGATATATATAAAGATAGATATCTTTATATTGATATCTTTGTAATATTCTTTAAATTTGTTATATATATATTGAAATAAATACATTGAATCATTTAAAGTGTTTAAATTGCTTTGTTAATTTAATATATGCACTCGTCATATGTTGATAGTTTTATTTTGACTCAGTCTGTGAATCATATTAAATTCATGCAACTCTTATCAAGAAACAGATGATTAAATCATTTCCAAAGAGTGAGACATTATGTTACATTGATTATGAGACCTAGTATAAAACTCATTCATTGTCATTTAAAAAAAGTCAAATTTGAAAATCTCAAGTATTGCACGATACTATGAACGAGGAAGAATCTGTAGAATGTTGATGTTTTTCTCTTTCGAGAGCATGTTCATCATGATTTTTTGAGCCGCATTCAATCTTATCATTGTGGAACTGATAAAACCTTACAAAAAATGTACGTAATGTAACTGAACAGTATGAAATATAATATGATTTCTCTGTTTTCAATCACATGTGTATACTTTTACTGGATTTCAATAAAAATGTTATAAAGCTCAAAATGGAGTTTCCTGGATGAAACGTATATTTTCTAAGCAATTGATATACGACTGATAATAACAGTATTATACTGTGTTGTCCAAATAGAACAAAGTCAATTGAATAATGAAAGAGCACGAAAGACAATAGTCGCTGTGCGAGCATTCCAAACTCACGAAGGTCGCCGATCTTCGTGGAATAATTTTCCGAGCGCAACAATAAGCGAATCTCTCGCCTCGCGACAAAGAAAGTCCTGTGTGTTTTGAAATTGATACTCACATTTGAGGCTGTCAGCACTGATCGGAGCGAGGAAGCAGGCGAGAGCCAAGAGCAGAACGCAGAATCTCTTCATGATGATGTATATCGATGTATGTGCGGTCACTGAGCGAGTTGCGATCGAGAAAATTGACTCGAGGTGTGCGTTAATAATCGTGTACGGGGGTACAATTCGTTCGAGCAACGATTCCGCAGTAGTCCAACGTAATCCGGGGCGCGAGCGCGAGAGAGATTTTAGAGTGAAATTACGGTGAAATAATGTCACGGGAAGGCAACCTTTACACACACTGGCGTAGAAGGATGACACTTGATCCCTTATCGACTGTCGAGCTCGGTTCTACGAGCGATAGTTGATTCGTGATAGACCGTCAACGAGCTATTGAGACGTAGACCGCAAGCACGGCCATTAACGCGCGGATCGAAAAGCGACAGTACTCGACGTTCGCAAAACAATGAACGCGCTGAGGAAAACTACGGGAGTATTCGTACGTATACAGCAGCAGTCGGGCGACACACTATGTTCAATGTAGTATATTGGTAAGTACGCAGTCGACTTGTTATTTCTCTCTTACTACTGCGTGTTAGCGGCCTGGCCAATGTTCGTATTGGTCGGGACGGGATAGCCCCGCAGCTGCGCGCGGCGGGAGCTTTTTCCCCGCGCGTTGGCCGCCCCGTCGGGCGGGAGTGGGGCACGGAAGGAGAGCCCAGCACCCTGGAATGTTCTCTGTGGATAAGCCCGAGCGACGTTGCCGTTTCCTCCGACACTCGTCGTGAAACGTTTAACCGTCGTCGTCGTCGCCGTCGTCGTCGTCTCTCTGTCTCGTCGCGATTAAACGAAATTGAACTACGATGAGTAAACACGTCGACGCCGGTTGTTGCCTTGTCTCTATATATCTATGGAAGAGACAAGCTGGATCGTGTCTTTCCGCCCAGCTGCATGACGATTCTATTTCTATATTTATGAACCCATGAGTCGAGCACATGCTCGCATAGACTCGCATCCGTATGTGCTTTTGCATCATCTTGTGATTTTACGCGTAATTTTTTTTCTTTTTTACTATATATGTGCGCGATCGATGTATTATATCTTTGTTGGCGACCGAAGCTTTTCTTACAATTAGAAGCGCAAGTCGAGCTTTTGTTCGTTAGTGATTTGTCATGCTCCATTGTTCGACGCTCGGAGTCGAAACGATAATATTTAAGTATGACACAGATTTATAATATATACGCCAATCTCTGTGAAAAAGTACAACAACGGAGTAGATTTTCCGATCGAACTTTATTTTTACGTTACTCGCGCGTTTATCGCGTTATTATTTTTCAGGAAAACCCACGATTTTTTTAACTGCGTTCCTACGATCGATCGTATCTCGGTTTAGTTGCGGCGATTATACACATTTGTTTTTATCTGAATTATACGTATCAGCGTATAGACTATCGTACCGCACTTTTATATTATATGAAGAAAACGGTTGTGGGGCCGTTTGCGTCAAGCACATCCTCGATCTTTCCATCGATCGTTTTGTATATTTTCTAATCGTAACGTTTTAAAAAAAGAGATTAACGTTACGCAACGGCGCAAATTATATTTCGATGCATTGGGCAACGAATAAATATTTTATTGGTAACGACACTCAAAGTTATAATCATCGGTACAATATTTGTTCACGTAGCCGGTGATAATCATCTGTACGTGATTCGGATTTTTGTCGTAACCACGAGTAAAGATCATTCAAGAGCCTTCACCTTTCATACTTATATATAGCTCGTATTTGAATTGACCCACTTTTATAACAAAAAAAATTTTATGGATGAAGATTAATAAAAACGTAAAAAAAAATGAGTTGAAAATTTATCTATTACGATGTTGACTTTACTGGTATATTTATTCAATCGAATACCATTGATTCAGCATTATATTTTTCTGTATGATGCAACATGAGTGGAAATGTGTGTAAATAAATACATTGACCATGTGAGTTATTAAGCGAGCTCTGAAGTTCTACTCAGCAAAACTTCTTAGCTGACTTTAAAAAATATACTTCTATTGTCTGCTTGTTCTATATTTTTCAACGAGAAAATCGATATAAATGATGAAATAGGCGCTGTACGATTATTTTCCAAAATAACGTATATTATCGTAGGGAATTGACAATTTACGGTTGCTAGAAATTTAAATAAAATCTAACCATTTCTTTATGCATTTGTAAAAACTAAATAAGTTGCCGCACACGCGAAACGATTTCTGCTCGCGAGAGCTGGCAACGTAGCGAGCCACACTACACTACGCATTTACTCCCACCCCTGTCACAGAAAACGGCTGAGAATTGCGGTGCTTGTGACTTTTCTGATCATTGTTTAGCACAGCGTCGAAGCGAGAGTATTCACGCTATTTGCTAGACAGCCAATAATTTTCCCTTTCGTCGTTCGCAAATCGTTTGATCGAAAATAAGGTATGTATCTTTAATATACATTAACTATAAACAGTCGAAATCAGTGCTACGATTTGCAATAAGTTTCGTTTTGTTAAGTGCGAAATTAATCGATTTTTAACTGCGACCATTCACGCGTGTGACGTTCAGTTTGGAGAATAATTCATTACACATTTTTTCGCTATTATGCTGTGTGCTCTTTGTCACCCGTTATTTATCCTAAAAAAAGTTTTTTCATACTCTTGTTTTTACCATGACGAATGAATATTTTTCCGAGTATGCACAGGCCAGTCGGAGCTTATCTACATGATAATGTGAAATGGCAACCAATGATTACATTTTCTACCATTCAATGTAATGCATATATAATAATATTATATAGAATGAGCTTATCAAACTAATCAGACTATGTGCATCAGTTTTAAACACTTCATTGTCGCTTCAAAGAATTTAATGTTGACTCATTAACTGATAGAAACGAAGGATGAATCTGTGATTGGTTGCAATTTATACATTCGATAAAGTTGGAGAGTATTTTTTAAAATAATTTATCTTATTTCATCGGTGAGCACTTATAAATTTAATCTCAATTTTAGATTTCAATCAAATATTGATAATATGTATGTGACATTTGTATCGTATTGAATTTTGAAATAAATGAGTTGAATAAATTGCAGAAATAGTTGATGATTTGAAATTAGAATTTAATATAAACACAAGATTTGATCTGATTTGGACGATATTAAAAAATGTATAGTACTTATGATATTTACAAATTTTTAACTGAAACTGTTTAAAATTATTGCAATCATACTATTAATAAGAATACTTATATCTTCTATTAATAAAAATTTTTTTGTTTTTTAACAAGTTTGATTCAATTTTACCAAATTTTTGTCTTTTTTTTCAGAAAAATGTTTTTAATCGTACTTCTGTGTGGATTGCTGGTAAGCTCTTCAACTGCTGAGTTTTGCTATGATGAAGTTGAAGCTGCATGCAGCCCTAAACCAGTATCTTCTTTGTTAGGTACTTATTATGAATTTAAGTAAATCAAAATGTTTTAAAGTTAATTTGAAAATATTAATTGAATCATTTATAATTTTCAGATGGACCCAATTTACCAAACTGTAATGCCAAGTATGGAGCTATTGATTCTTTACAAACTGACTTGCAGGCATATGCTAATGGCCAGCTAGAATCAAGCTTTGAATATTTGTTGATGTCTACCCATTTTGGCAATTATGAAACCAACCGTGCAGGTTTTCAGAAACTGTACAGAAAATTATCTGATCTTGCATGGCAAAAATCAATTGACCTAATTAAATACATCAGCACTCGTGGTGGAAAAATGAACTTCAATCAACTACCTCACTTGAAGAAAAATGTAAGTTATACTTATTATACTTTTAAAATACTGCAGTTTAATAACAAAATAATTCTTCTGAGAGTAGTTTTTAAGCTTAAATATACTAAAATCTATAAAAAAATATAAGCATGCAAATTGAAGAACAATTTTTAAAGTTTATTCATTTTAAAATATTTTAGAGCAAAGAGTCCCACAATTTGGAAGTCAGTGAGCTTCATAGCTTAGCTAAGGCTTTAGACTCTCAAAAACAACTGGCCAATGAAGTACTGCGTCTTCATAATCTTGCCAAGAATCATCAAGATGCTGCTATAGCTCACTACCTCGAAGAGGAGTTCTTGGAGAAACAAACTGAAGAAATCCGTAATCTTGCTGGTCACACAGCAGATCTCAAGAATCTACTCAACCGTGACGCACCACTTGCTGTCTTCCTCTTCGATGAGTACCTTCAAAAAGCTCTGTAAATTTTTCTAACTGAGTGCTATAAATTTTTTCATAGTTATGATTTTGTGAAAAATCTAGTTGTATTTATTATAAATTGAAAATTTTATGAACAAATACATTATAAGTTTGTGTAAAGTTTTGTCTATAGCTATTTCTATAAAGCACTGAAACAAATGAAATATTTGTTTTATTACTCAGTTGAACTGATTGCTGGATTATGCGCAACAAACTTAAGCACATTGGTTTTCTAAAATTGGAAAATTTAAGTAAATCATTGATGTAAAATAATCCTGATTCCAAATAAAGACGATAAAAAACAATTATTTTATTATTTGCGTTACATTCCAAAGCTTAAAATGAGTGATTCTTCTTGATTGCACTACTACTTTAAAAATGAAAATACGAATTTGATATATCATCAAAAATGTTGCTAAGTAATAAAGAAAAATGCTACTTACAGTTAAAATTACTGCTTACAAATTCAAAATTGAGAACAATTTTTGTTTTTAAAATAGCTTTTTTTGTATTAGCATTCAAGTACTTGAATCGATTTGAATTGACTTTTTATTAATGTCTGATCTTTGAATAACTTCTAAGTTTCATATTTTTTTTTTTCACTCTAATGTTTCTAATTTTTTCACAGTAAAAAATTAGTAAATAAATAACGGACTAATGCGTTGCAATGCTAAATTCTATTTTCTCTTATTAAAATTATAAAAAGTTTTCACTCTTAATACGAGGAACAAAAAAACAGACTTGATGAGGTGAAACCGATCTGAGATTCATCTCGTTCGCACATCTTAAAACATAACAAAATAAAAAAGACAGCGATGAAATACCAATGTACAACTTTTAAATTATTTGTATTGAAGACTAAAAACTTCAAAAATTAATGTAGTCACGTTTTTTTTTATTGACCAAAAAATAAAAAATTTTATAATAGGTAATTCGGCTTGATATTTATTCGCGGCGACCATACGGTGTATGCGCGCGAGTACACCTCTGGAAACAATAATATTATGAGTTATTGAAGTCATCGCGGCTGTAGCACAAATTTCACATGCGGCCGCTAAATAGACACACTCAAAATTTAATTAGTTTAGTGATACATTCAACTTGGTGAGCCGAAGTTTTCCACCAAGTCGTCCGTCGCAGTTTTTCTCTGTCTTCGATATTGCTCAATGCCACCATGGCGATGGTTTCAAGATTTTCTAAGATCAAGTTTTCCTGCAGTGGACTGGTTTTCTGTCTGTTGTGGATTCATTTTATACGTTCTACTGCATCGGAATACTGCTACAGTAACATCGATTCGGCATGCCATGCCAAGTCGTACACAATATCAGGTGAACAGATTCTCACGTTTTACAGAAACTGTTAGTATAATTGATTTGTAAAAATAGTAATTTAAAATTTGCCCCCGTCTCTGTGCAGAGAGCTCGGATAGCTTAGACTTGGAAGATTGCAATGCCAAGTACGGTTCGATCGACGAGATACAAGACGATTTTTTGGCCTACGCCGACGATCAGTTGCAAACCAGCTTCGAATATCTGCTGCTGTCCGCGCAGTTCAACAATTACGACACTAATCGCGCAGGTTTTCACAAACTGTACAGGAAATTATCCGATGTCGCGTGGGAAAATGCATTGGCCATCATCCGATACATCAACAGTCGGGGCGGTCAGCTGTCGTTCGAGAACATCTCGAACAATGGAAAAAACGTGAGTTTACTTTAGCGTCGAAATTTCATTCGGCCGTTAGGAGAGAAATCCTATGAAATTGTTGCAATTTTTAGAAAGAAAGATCGCTCAACTTCGACATGAGTGAATTGCACAGCCTGGCCAGAGTCCTCGACTCCGAGAGTCGATTGGCCAACGAAGCCCTGAGACTTCACACTCTGGCCACGGATCACGAGGACGGCGCGGCGGCCCACTTCCTCGAGGAGGAACTCATCAGGAAGCAGAGCGAGATGATTCGAGATCTCGCTGGATACACCAGCGATTTGAAGAAGTTGCTGAGGCAGCGCGACGCACCCCTCGGTGTTTACTTGTTCGACGATTATCTCCGGACCAGTTTATAAATTAATTCTCTTTATTTTTTTGGTATTCTTCGGATTTTTTTTTTGTTTCGGTAAAATCAATTTTTGTACTATGATTGCAAAATATTTTGTTGAGTAATTTTCATTGGTGCGTAGGTAATTTGTACCGTTGAAATTCAAATTAACTTGGATCTATTAAAAATTTATTTAAAAAATATAAAGATTGTTGAGACGAGAATATTTATTTAGCAAATAATAAGTGAAGGTTTCGGATTTTTCTGAATGCTCTTGGATCTGGTAAATTCTAGTTATTTAAAGCTTTGTCGGAGTAATAAGTAAGTTGGTAGTTGTTTTAATTAGTCATCAATTTAATTGCTAATCAAAAATTGTTTTGAAACTATTTTCTTTCGATTTTTCTCTTTTTTGATTTCTTTATCATCATTGGTTTTGTCTCAAAATATTAGCAGCTGTGTGAAACAAATACACAATGAAACTTGACTAAGCAACTCTGCCACTGTTCAGAGACTCCAATTTTGTTTTTTTTCGAGTTGCCTAATTTTTCTTTAGTTTCAAGTAATAGAATTTTCATCTACAGACTTACTGCTTATTGTAGAATTTTTCATTTTATTTATATAGCTATGATAAATAATTAATTTATGATTTATTTGTATGAATGATAGAACTTGATAGAAACTTGAGCACTCCAAAAGTCTCGAATATTCGGTAAAAACACTGGAATTTTTACGATTCGACTCGAACTCTCTCGAACTACTAGTCCGATCATATAAACAGCTTTTCTTTTTCAATTTCATTAGTTTCAAGGAGATACCGAAGCCAAGGTTTAAATTGAAATTTTCAAACACTTTTTCCTGAATTTTCATTGAATAATTTTCCATGAAACATCGTTGATGACTGAAAATCCACAAAATGAAGACATTCACGTAATTTTTTTCGAGAGATATTCTGTAGACTTTTTTCAAATGCAAAAACGTTGTAATCAAGATTCAAATGAAAAATTTTAAATTTTCATGTAGGCTCAACAAGACATAAAGCTCTGTAGTATATATTCAGTCTTACAATTTTTATAATGCAAGAGATTAACAAAATTGTTAAACTTAAAGAAAATATAGTTATCATTCAAATGTTTGTACACAGTTATGATTTATTTGTATTCAATTCTATTGCTTTTGGGAAAAAGATAATTGAATATCTATTTCTAGCGAAAGGATTGCATCAACTCAACTTTAACTGCTAGACCAAATAGAATTGAGTTTAAATGAGTAAAAATAGAGTTCAAAGTTGGTTTATAATTTTTTTCGTTTTATTTAAATTAAATACTATATTACACAATTTTCTTATCAAAATATTTATAACAAAATGATTGAAAAACCTTTAAAGTCAATCACAACAATTTTTAACCAAACCAGGATTTCAAACAATCAGTTCTATCATCTTCAGTCTTATTTTTCTGTTGTCTGATTTCCATCTCAGTTGGTTTTTGTTTAATAACAGGAGCAACAAAAGTATTTGTTTTGTTTGTTGCTTTTTTCAATTTTTGGCTCCTATCTACATTCGTAGAGAAGAAGTTAGCTTCCTTCTTAACCTGTTCAATTTCTGCTCGCATTCTTTGTTTGTGGACGGCTCGTTCATAACTCAATCTTTCACTGAGATGAATCCAATTGAACCTGGAAAAATTAAAATTTTTTAATTTATTTAAATTTCAAACAATGTTTGCAAATAGATCCAATCTTGCTTTGGTATAAATCTTACTTTGGTAAATATTTGATGTTCCATATCATGTCATAAAATTTGCTCTTTTTCCTACTTGATATCTGTGTATTGTTTAACGTAGCTGCCACATGCTTAGCGACTCTTTTACTTTTGAATTCGACCCAGCCTTCAGTGAAATGCTTTGAAGGCTGCTTACGTTTCTTTTGTTTTTTACTTTCTTGTTTTGCCAACTCTGCAAACAAACGATGATGAATTAATAAATAAATAATAAAAGAAAAACTATGCATAAAAATTATGAATGGTTAAAGTAATGTACCTTTGTCAGCCAATTGCAAGTATACACGGCCTACTTCTCCGTAAGCAGAAAAAGTTTCACGTATAGTAGTCACATTCATGTACTTTGGAATGCTTGATAAATAAATAATTCCTTTCTTTTTTGGTTTTTTCACTTTTTTCTCGGTTACTTCAGCAGAACTAGGTTCATTGGTGCACGAGGTTTCCGGATCCATTGTAATTGATTGATGACCAGTTGTGAACGGTAATTATTTATTGCAATAATTGTAATTATTTCACGAGTAACTTAAATATTTAGTACAATCAACTAAGTCTCAATATTCACTGTCACTGAGGTACAAATGTAATAACACACAATGTTACAGCGTGCGTGTGTACATAACCTACATCGGCTTTAAATGAATATGAACGTGTTTTTGTAACTCGAGATTAGATTTTGAAACTGACATAAGCACATGGAAGCACATGTATCGTGCTATCCTTTTCTAATTTTCGGTGGCAAGATCAGAAACTAATCGAATCATCCGAGTTCGTCGACTTCGTGAAAGCAGGCTTTTTTTAAATTCACTGACTTTTAAATAAAGTTTTCACCGGTACGAAAATGATAAATAAATTTGTCGATTTAAATGTATGCAAAATAGGAGAGTGGGAATTTTCTACCTCTCTTCGCGAAACGCAAGAAAGAGATAGCGGTCTATAGAACAGTATATTATCTCTCCCTACTCTTTCTCACTCAGGGTCTTTAACTGTGTGTATACGACGAATTGCTTATTGCAGACAGACTGCGAATGTCAGTGAGCAATCATTCCGTGGGGCTGTCACCTGATACATCCATAACACAAAATACAGTCGATTGACAAAGCACGACGATCTATATTCGCACTTGTCAGTTGTCACGCATTTTAATTTAAACTCGCGATTTTGAAATCAATGTGACAATCTTTTCAGTCGTCGATGCGCATGAGAAAAGCGCGTGCGTGAGAAAATTTCCTCTCAAACTCTCGTCTCGATCTCAAGTGCTTCCCGTTTCAGTCGTTTCTATTCTAGTCGAGAGACTAACGTGGAAAGCATCGCACAGCATTCACAGCATTCCCGCAGCATTCGCAGCAGCAGGTCGTTTGCTTCAACAAATAAGTTTTTACGCTCAACAATCGATACGCGTCGTTAGCAAACATGGATGTTAAAAAAATCATGGAATTTATGGAGCTGATCGGGCGCTTGAAGGTAAGAGTGAAAACTTGATTTTTCTATTTTTGTGCGTTTAACGACGTTTGACATTCTAGCACGTGGTTAAAGGGACGGTGACACTTGCCCAAAAATCTAGTTTCCAATCCCGTTTTCTTAATATTCTTCTGAGAGTTTCTTCAAAAGGCTCTGTGGGGCCTTTAAGAACATTAAGTTGAAGGTCCCAGGAAAGTCTTTTAGAAAAATATTCTATAGAAGTTTCAGAAAGCTGGTGTGATAATTTGATTTTTGGGCTGGCCTTGCTTGCCATCTCCTCAATAATCAACAACCTGAATAATCGTTTGCTTACTAAATATTCTTATTATTGTTTTAACATCGTTCAATCTTAAATTGTAGGATTTATTCAAATGTTCATCAATGATGAATGAATTTAGTAAATTGATGATTTACTGATAGATGATGATAACAAATGATTATATCGTCTCTGTTTAAATTATTTGTACTTTCATAACATTGGTTAAAGAGATGTTGATGCAACCCCAAGAGTCAAATTTTATCTAGTTTCATGAAACTCCTACCAAATAATTTTCTGAAAGACCCTGCAGCTACTTTTACTTTGATATTCTATAAGGTATCGTAGAGCATTCAGGAAAAAAATTTAAAAGAAGTTTCAGATATCAGAATTCTTTAATTACGTAAATTTCCTATGAATGAAAAAAATCAAAATATTACTTGAAAACATGTAACTTATTAAAGTTATTGAATTATTTGAATATGTTGCACCTACCTAATTACAAAATTGTAAATACTCTATTGTTTTTAGCATATCAAACGAACTGGTTGGGTTATAAGGAATATTGGAGATCCAGAAACTATATCCGGACACATGTACAGGATGGCCATGCTTTCTTTTCTTATTGATCCAAAAGAAAATTTAAATAAATCTAAGTAAGTATATTTAAAATAATAAATGTAAATTCTGAAAGATTTAGTATTAATTCAATTTTTATCACATAGATTAATTGAGATGGCGTTAGTTCATGACTTGGCTGAATGCATAGTAGGAGATATCACTCCTCATTGTGGAGTATCTCCTGAAGATAAACATAGAATGGAAGATGAAGCTATGGAGAAAATTTGTGCAGACTTAGGAGAAAGAGGACAAGAAATGCTTGTGTTATTTAGGGTAAATATATTAAAAATATAATCTTTTAGTAAAATTTTTTATAATGGATAGTTCGTAAAAATATATAATTAATTTTACAGGAGTATGAAAAACAAGAATCACTGGAAGCTCGATATGTGAAGGACTTGGATAGAATTGATTTATTAATGCAAGCTTATGAATATGAAAAAAGAGACAGCATTCCAGGAAAGCTACAAGAATTTTTCACCTCTACTCGAGGAAAGATAACTAATCCCTTTTTAGAAAGTGTAGAAAAAGAAATTAACAATGCGAGAGATAAATTACTTAGCACAGCAGAAGAAAATGAAAAGTGATAGTTGAACCAAAAATTTTTAAAATGAAAAAGCTAAAAAATTGTTTTATTTTTTAGTAAATATAATTATATAATCTAAAATAGCATTTAAAGGAAAAAATAGATAAAAAATTATTAGCTCAGTCAAAGTTATGATTAAGTATGTATTAATTTTGAAAGTGTTCAATTAGGATTAGGATATTTTATTTACATAATATAATATCCTAACTGCTTTTCAAAGCAAAGTTAAGATTCATTGTTGATTAACAGATTAAATATTGAGTTTGATGTCATGAATCAGAGTTTTATATCAGAATTTATTCATAATATTGTTTAAATTCTTCAGTTTATCATAATTAATTATTTTAATTAATCTTTTTCTCAATAACTCATTGTACACAAAAGTTACAGTAATAAGTAACATAATTAAATCATATAATATTTATATTTATATAAATATATTCAATATTAAAAAAACTTTAATATTTAATTATGTGTTCACATTTTAAGATTTTTTTGTATCTTAAAAATGTAATTTTCATATCTTTGTAAAGCTCTTTTCATATTCAAATACTTAAATACTCAAAATTATTGCGCAAGTATTACTAATTCTTTAAATTATTGAGATGTAAAATTTATTTAACCACGTAAATGAATGATTAAATATTATTTTTTTCATACACTTGCAGAGTTTTCTTTAATTTCAAAAATAAACAAAAAATACACAGATATATAAATACATAAAAAAAAATTATATTAATATTTTATGTTCTCAAAAAAATAATTGCATAAAATTAACATTATTTCAAGATTTTAATGAAATATTTTTTAATTTAAATATAGTGACTATTTTTACGAAATTTTTATGCACAAATGATAACTTTATTTGCATCGGAGGTGAAGCATAAGGGTATTAACGTTTCAAGTATGAACATTTTCAGTACTTTCCATTATGTTTGAAATTTTTATAAATGATGTGATTGAATTCATAAACTTCAAATTAATAAATGAAGTACAAGTGATAGATGTAGCGCTAAAAGAAGAAGTGAAGTAACTATACTTCAGTTGCTATGGTAACGGCCTTTTTTGTAGCATAGTCGAACGTGATTTTTGGCTCAGTTATCAGCGAGCGATAAAAGGATATGCATAAATCGATATGTGATACATTTAATAATGATTTATTTGTAATTCTGATGAGTATGGTTCTTTTAACAGTCGATAACGAGATGTATTTTTACAATGATTATCTTCGATGTTGCAATTAACTATCTACCAATATATCCTTAGCTATGCGCTCGATTTTGTTCACCGATTCGTCATCGTTCGATAATTCGCAGATAAATCTGTGCTTCTGGCTGCAGTCTTCACCCCGGTACATGTATGTTCTCGACGATGGTTCGTACTCGAGTTTCAGGCATCTGTATAGAAAGTAAAACAATGATTCGACCGGTTTTAAAATCGATGTTTAACACGTCTTAAGATTTTACCTTCCGTCGCCGATGACATTCTGCTTGGTGTCGTGATGCACGGGTCTGGCGCTCGCCGCCCAAATCCACAGAAGACCCGGGTTCAGACCGCCGGTCCAGTAGCTTTTTCGGATTTTCTTGTCGCTCTGCAGCATCGCCACGACGTCCTGATTCTCCTCGATGGATTCGAACTCGACCAGATTGCCGCCCATCGCTCGGCACAGGCTCGCCGATGACTTCCAATCGTATTCGCGATTGCTCATGTGGTAGCAGAATTGACCGACTCGAGTGAAATTTTTGGCACACGGTTCTAGAAAATTATAAAACAATTGATTTTGATTGAATTTTGATACTCGTGGGATCGTGTTATCAAGGATTAAAAGAGTAGTTACGCTTGGCTTTGTTGTTTCCAGATATCACATAATATAACAATTCCTCTGTTCTTTTCACTCGTTTTTCCAAAAAGTCCATTTTATAAACTAATTTTTCTATTGATCCTGCAAAATAAAGAATAAATCAACTTCAATTTTAAAGAAATAGAGACAAAAGAACATCCCCGTATGAATTGAAAAAATGTTAAGTATTAAAGTCTAAGTAATACTCAATTACACATTTTTAATTTCAATGTAAATAAATGCTGTAAATTATAACTGATGCTTAAATCTTCAGATAAACTTAAATTTTAGAAATACTCGATCATAAATACTTATCTTCATTGCGCAACAAAGTATCGCGAATATCAAAAATTACGTTAACAAATCATACAACTAATTTTAGTTTTCAACGGATTAAAATTTTTCCTTACGCGAATTATAGTTCTTGAACGTTATTTTGATTTAAAATATTTAGAAAGTTGGTTTTGTTTGTTGACGGCACAGGGTGTGACGAAATTAACATATTACATCACATCGGCAAGAAAACCCACTATTACCGCAGCATTGTGTATGACGCGCGGGCGCCGTTTACCATGTTTAAATTGATCTTCGAGCAAATATTGCGAATATCGTGAGCGCTTGTACGCACTTAGTCTTGAATTCTTTGCATAATAAAGGAATAATTAACATTTTGAAGACTCGCGTTACTAAATATATTAATTTGATTAAATTCTAAGTCATTAATTGAACGTTGAACCTTCTTAAAATAAGTGTACGGGCGTAATGAAAATTTCAGCGGGCAATGAGCTGCAGCAAGGAAAAATTGCGAAATAAATTTACCCAATAAATAGAGATCCGTTTCAGAAACTTGTTTGTTGCCATTTTGCGATGGATGCACTTTGTTCGGATTCGTAATTCTCAGCGTTGAATCGCCAAGTTTGATTTCTCGCGATCCCCTCGAACTGCCATTAGACATTATCCATTCTTCTAAAATTTCGCTCCAAGGACCGATAGCTTTGTTATCGCACACTTCTGTATTGACATCGGTAGACGTTTCTCTCTTTGCAATTTGTAAAGCTACAAAAGGAAATTCACATACAGTATTTTATTGAATTTTTTTTCCCACAACATTGATAAGTTTTGAGCATTATGCTCATTTTGTTTACCATTGTTATTGTTCGCCAAAGCAGCTGCACAAAGTAGTAAAATAAACAATTTTCCCTTCATTTCTCACAATAGTCCTGGAATGGAAAAATTTTTGGTAATTGTTCGAGTTTCTTTCAAACGACAAAATATGAAAATTGATGAGCAAATTTTTTTTAAACTCAGACAATGTTTTAATAGTTTACTTCAAATTCTCCAAAACAACACACCTTTTTTATTTGTAATTATCTTTTTATAAATTAAGTCCTTACGAAATCGCTATGTTCTCCAATTAGTATTTTTGCGATTTTTATCTTCGCACGAAAGAAATTGTAAAAGAGTTATATCAACAATAGCAATTGTGTAAAAAAAATTATGTAAAAAAATTCATTACTGTATTATACTTTCTTATTATAATAAACAAATGATGTTTTAATGTACCATTTACAGTAAATTATTAATATCGAATTATATTGCAATGAAAGAATTATTGATTTGATGGACATTTCACGAACATATGTTGAAGCATACTTGTTGTTTATAATGTAGAAACTAAGTATTAAGTTAAGTAAAATTGAAGAAAAACTTACTCATGTAGAGATGAAAAGATTTGATAAAAACTAATCAACACTTGTAACACGACTTGACTCGTCGCGTGCACACACGAAACATAATATTGAATGAAATGTTGACCTCAGAAATATTCTTTTACCTACACTTATTAGTTTCTGGGGCACTTTCTCCTGTTCTCTCTTTCTCTCTACACTCTACTCTTTTTAACATCTTTATATATATATAGGTTGTATCATCGTCACCGCTGCGGACCCGAAAAACGAGTACTGAACTAATTGCAGTAATTTGCAGTGATTTTTGAATAAAAATATTCCAAATAAGTGGGTTTTCTTCGTACATCTACAGAAACTCAGAGTTAAAATTACAATTTATAATTATTAATTTACGTTTTTATGGACACTGACAAAAATCGTTACCGGAAAAAGTGCATTGAAGTATGTTTTTCTGAGTACAAACAACTTGTTGTAAAGTTAAATTATTGGTCTAAACAATGGAAAAAGTATTAAAAATGCATACTCAAAACGGATTCAATTCTATTTTGAATTACATTGTAAATAATTACAGGACACCGGAATTTCAGGTACATATAGGTAAATGAAATAATTATAATTTGAGAAAAATTGACTAAAACAGATTTGTTTTTCTTATGTTGTACATTCGTTAATCCTATATTTCCTTTGAAATTTATAGTATCAATAAAAATAGTGAAAATCTGTGACCATGCATAAATTTTATCGAGCAATGGTAATTTACATTATATTAATTTTGTTTTTTTTTATAATACATTTGTCGAAAATCAGATGTTTTCAAATAGGGAAATCGCGGGATACTCTAGGCTTGGGGAGATTCTTGAAAGTGCACGAGAGTTTAAATGTGCTCATAAATTGTTTATTATGGCAATTTTTTGATTTTTTTCATTAATTGGAGTATTAAATTTGCTTTCTCATCTTAAAATTAATGCTCAAGTATAAATAATATGAGAAAAATTATAATGCTATGAAATTTTTTAATTATTTTTTGTACTTCTGTCTTTTTCACTTATTATTTGCTATACTTTTTCGGATAGAATATTCTATACACCTAATATCGTTTTCAAAATTGAAAAGTCCTCATTACTTGTTGAACTGTTAACATTTATCTAAAAAAGATCATTTTTTCTCACGTTTTTTGTCTATTTATGTTTTTCTTAAATTTTTTAGAATGTCACAGTACTTTATGGGCTATTTGAACTACATGGCTCACGTAAATTTCTCCAAAACGTCGATAATTATCCCTACGACCGCATTTGGAAAGTGATAAAATGTCCTAGGCGATGAAGTTCTGAAAAAAGCTAATCCATATTTATGAGCTGTTATTATGCTAAAACGCATGTAACATTAAAAAAACGCAATCATTGTAGTGGAAAATTATATTTTCTTATTATTTAATTATACAAAGTTTAAGTAAAAAAAAAGAAAACAATGTATTTTACTGAAAAATATAATCAAAACATATTTGTACAGTATCGAGAAATCGCATTCAATTTCTCGTGTGGAAGCTCAAAAGTAAACGGTTAAATTGAGATGTTCCTCGTTGGATTCGTAAGGCGCGGCTCGAGTCTCGGTCGCGGCGTTCTCGTTGCTCGCGGTCTGCAAAAAAAATGTTTGAAAAATCGATCGATCAACAACGACTTTATTCCAAAATTTGACATTGTAATATATTTACTCTGTCGTCGTCGTTCCAGGAGAGCTTCTTCACTCGCCTCGACACGTACTCCTCGGGCCAGGTGGGCGCCAACGAGTCCGGCGGATCGCCCGAGAAGGTGGACGAGCTCTGAGAGGCCGACTCGACGTTGTTGAGATTGTTGCGGGCGCTCAGGTCGTTCATGTTCTGCACGAGGCCGCCGACGTTCGGTATGTTGGACGTGGCCGACAGAGCCGGCGGCTCGGACGCGGGTGCTATCTTGTGCCTTGGATAAAATAAAATTTGCCTATTCGCTGCGAAGCAAGAGGAAATAATTCTTCAATGTTTTTAGATCTAGAATTACAATCGCTATTGATGATAAATGAATTTACTTCTTCTGGTTGCGTTGTAACTGTCGCTGTCATCCCCAAAGACAGGATTATCGATGTCGTGAGACTCGAAATGATGTTCCTGAGTTACTTCCAGAGTGTCGCGTAAAATGCTGGCCCCGAGTATCTGCGGCGTTGGATTCAGGGCCGAAGGAACCGGAGATTTTTCTTTACAACCGAGGGCCGCCGAATTTACCGATCCCTCGCCTTTCGGTCGTCTGCTGAAATTAATAAATCAATAGCAGAATTTTTATTAATAAAAAAGGACCATGTTTGAAAAAATAAGTTCAAAATTGTTTCAAGGTAATAAGAAGCTCTTGAGTGAAGTACGAATACGAATTATGAAGATGCCATTAATATTATGAATGAAAATGTCCTTACTGTTTGTAAATATATAATATAAGAATCAATATAACTACTCCAAGAAGACCGAGTACGGCGCCGAATACAGCCACCAGTAATACACTACTCCCAAGCCAAGTTGGAGCAGTCCGAGCCGCCTCAAGGATGGTTCCGGTATTTGGTAAATGAACTATCACAGGTATCATAGTTGATCTATCGGAAAATTCATTTATAAATTAATTGCACATGAGAATGATACTGAAAGATTTTTTAAATCTTTCAAAGCGATTTTTTTTTATTCATCAGAGATGGTAGCGTAGCTTTACGTTAAAAAACATTCGGTAAAAAAGTCAGAAAACGATTTCGAATATAGTAGCTATCAACATAAATACCTAGTAGGTTTTCCAGTATCTGAGGCAATCGCGACCAAACGAGCTATGGTACCATTTAACGGTTCCACCGATCTCAATATCAATTCTCCGTTGTCACGAATTTCAAAAGAGCTGCAAAGAATAGTCACATTATTTCATATTTAGAGGTAAATAATGTTAAAAGAAAAATTAAAATGTCGTACCGAGCATCGGGTCCTCTCAAAGTTAAAAAAACCCGATCTCCTCTGTCGCCATCAGCAGCTTCGAGCCTCCCTATTTCACAGTATTTTGATGAATAAATATTTAATTTAACTGCATTTATTTACCGAAGGTTCAAAAAAACTTACCAACTATCGATCCTTCTCTTAAAGTTCTTGCGTGAAATTCGTATCTTGGATGACGAAATCTAGGTTCCCACTCGTTGACATCTTCAATGGAAACATTAACCCTGGCAGTGTCGTTCTAGAAAATTTTTCACCAATGTCATTTTCCAAACTTTTTATTAACTTTCAATATTAATTGTAAACGATTCTTACATTATGTTTATCCGTAACGTGAACTAGAAAACTATGTTGAATTCGCCGTTCGTAATCTAAGGTTCCTTTCAGGATCAATTCTCCAGAATTTGTTATGGCAAATCGTTCCATGTCTTCGTCGGCTCCAGCTAACCAGAATTTCAGATTCTGATGGATAATAACAGTATCGTCATGAAAAATTAATTATTGGAAAATAATCGAAAAGAATAATAATCACTCACTGGATCAATTTTATTAACACCCGTCGTGAGAATAATACTTCCAGATGGAGTATTCTCAGGAATACTCGCGTGGTAGTCTTTCAATACGAATCTCACGGGTATTCGGCCCTCTATAAAACCTGTATTAAGTTTTTGCGTTTATTAAGATAAAACATAAAGATGCAACGATAAAAAGTGATATTACCGTTCGTCAAAATATCATCTTCGCTTCCTTCGCGAGTTACGACGACGGTAGCCAGGGTGTAACGATCGGAGTTGTCGATCTGAGTAGCCTGGAAAGAATATTTAAAAAATCTGATTCTAGATATCCTGTTTCGCGTCTCAGAAATCGATCAATCGCACCTTTATCACAAGCGTAGCTCCTGAAATGAGTTCGTGATCTTGCAAAGGTCGATTTATGACAATATCGGCGGTTTCCGGATTCAGCGTGAGAAATGGTAAAATACCCCCTTGAATGGAATATCTCACGGGCGAACCGATACCGACGTCCTGATCCACGGCTTTGATGGGAGCAGGATCCACTCGGAGGATTTTTCTCTGAAAGTCGTACGATATGATTGTATATTTTTAGAAAGTGATACAAATCGGATATACGAAATCGAACGTACGGTTTTTATGTGTAACGGAACACTGATGCGGTACTGATCATTGAGGAACACAGGATTTTGATCGTCCGCGTCGATCACGTTCACGTAGAGGACTGTGGTGGAAGACTGTGGTGGATTTCCCTGGTCCTGAATGATAAATCCCAATTATGTATAATCGTTGTGGATATATGCTAATACAAGATTTTCTCTCACTAACCTGGGCTTTTATCCCAACGGAAAAATTACTCAGAGTTTCGTAATCCAGTGGTTTTCTTAATACTAGTGTACCTTCTAGTGCGTTTGCAAAAATGAAAAAATCCTAAACAGACAAAACACGTTAATACTAATGTTATTAAAAAAATTAAAAAGTAGAATAATGATATTGTGGTGTATATGGGAAGGATGTTGAATTATATTTTCACTCGGATACCGATGTGGAAAAAAATATGATACAATGAAACACAATTTTTCACGCACCGAATGGGGCCCATCGAGGATACTATATTGTACTGTCGAGTAAGGTCCCGGTTGATCGGCGTCGATTGCTCTGACGCCTTGAAGAACTCTGGTGCCAACGACCGTGACCTAACAACATAATGCGATTGCTTCAATTTATATTTTAATCTTATTCTCACTTCGTTAGTTTGTTTTGATCGTTATAAAATTTATAAAATTTATTCAAAAGTGTGTAAATTGACGATAAATTATTCCAAGATTCAATGAGCGATCAATTTCAATTTTTATACTTTTTTAAACTTTTGTACCTTTTTCAAGCACTTGTTAAATAATAAAAAAAATTCTGAATAATTTTGAATTAAAATAGGTAAATATTCATATATCATCAAATCAAATAACTTTTTTCAAGGAATTTATATATTTTAAGGAGTAACATAAAATTTACATGTACCTCAGATATGTTGAGAACGTATGGAGCATTGATGAACTGAGGCGCATTGTCGTTAGCATCGGTTACTCGTATGTTCACAGGAATAATGAAGCCCTTTAATTGAAAAAAGAACCATCGTAAATAATTATAATCAAATTTGAATGCAAGTTCGATAATAAAAGATTATCAGGATAGAATAAAGATGAAAATTTACGGGATCGAGAGTCTGTTTGCGTTCGCATATGACATTAACGTAAACACTGGCGGGTCCGTCGATACCTTCCTTGTCGAGGGGCCTCGCGAGGGTGAGATTTCGAGAATAGGGCGAAAACACCACGGGACTGTCGAACTCTTTGAGTCGCAGCTCGATGTCGCCTTTGGGGCCGGGATCGCCGAGAACAGCCAGAGGACCGACGATCTCGCCGACCTTCATATCCTCGGACACGAAGAGGTGAGCCGCCGTCGCTCCATTTTCCAAAAAGCACCTTGTGTCTCGAATCACTGCTCGGAGGGGAAAAAAATAGTTTAAACTTTAATTTATCCATCTGTTCAATCCTCGGTTTTGCGTTACTAAATATTCTTGATCAGACTTACATTGTCCTGACGTCCAGTGAAGTTGTGAACTTAGTGCGAGTAAAATGATGAAAATTATGTTCTTCATGTCAATCCAAAGTCTCCATTAAAGTCTCTCAGCATTACGATGATCATCTGTTCATTGGAAAATACTAAATACTTATTTGCAATCGTTTTTATTTATTTTAGTATTTGATAATAAAAAGAGATTGTTGAATTAAAAATTACTGAGGTATGCTAAAATAAATTTTGATCTCCTCGAAATTTTTACCACTCATATGAGAATGTCTAACCGATCTTTACAATAAAAGACTTGAAATTTTTTAGCAAAATTTATTTTTTTTTTTAAATAATATTGAATTTTCATTATGAGTTATAAGCTACGGTATTTATTGATTGAAGAGGCGATTTTTTAACCCCGTTTCAAAGTAAATAGCTAGATTAACACGCAGGGATCCGAAATGAATCCAAGAAAATCCACGTAAAGTCTACCTTCTTATATGGATAATCTATTGGGGGTTTCAGTTCAAATTAAATTAAATTAAAACTGTAACTTAATTGAACTTAGACAAATACGGCTATACTTAAATCGAGTATTTTTCAGGTTTTTTTTGTATAACAAATTAAAAGACAACGCTGATAAGTATAGCAACTAATATCACGTCTTTATTGTTTAGGGCTCAATTGTAATGCGTGTCAACAAATTCTTCATGCATAGGCTGGCGCGGGAGTCGTATAATATTTTCTAGCGTCGCGACATGCATATATCGCACTCGCTACGCTTGAGCGCAAACCATAACGCTGCAATGCCATAGATGAAACGCATTACTACGTACGATCCTCGCATCGTGAACTATCATTATAGGTTGCTTTGCATAACAGCTAAGATCACTCGGCAACTTTATTTCCATTTTTTTCTTGATAATCGAACGAATTACGGTGAAAATCGAACATTTTTTCCGAAGTCGCTTGAGATGGGGTCAGTAACTTTTTTAATTTTAGCAAAAATCAATAATATTCTCGAATTTGCTTGGGCTGAGACTTTGAAAATTAGGTATGAAAAAGCAAAAGAAAAAATATCGAATAAAATTTGGACCATTCGATTTAACGGAGAATCGTCCATGTACATATAAGCATACAATAAAAATGCGTCAGCAAACATTTCGTTTCGCTTTTACTATTTTTTAATTGAATATAACTAAGGTAACATTGTATTTGTACAAACATATAATATTTGCACAAAAATAACAAAAATGTACGTAAATATACAATTTAATACGTCTTTTGTAAGGTGTGACAAGTATAAATAAAAATATGTTAATTCACACTCGGAAAATCAAAAGCATTGAAAATTGCCTCATAAAAAATTAATCCGTCTCATCGTTCTATCAGCACATCCTAAAAAATTTCAGACCGATTGAAAGAGCAGCTCTCGAGCTATCGCGTTATAGAGAAATACACAAACACGAGAAAAAGTAGGGAGGATACGGCTGAGCTACGTTTAGCATAGTTACCATCTAGCTGAATCGGCTTTTTAAAATAAATGTAAAATGTATAAATCAATTCTAAATAAGTTAAGAAATTGTAACAAACCGATAAACTTAATTCAACTTTTTATTTGACACATCTTATTAATCAAAATTTTGCTTTAATTAAATTTTAATGTACGCATTGTTCAATTAAAAATGCGAATCTCGGTAATTTTAAGTTTAACGGAAAAAATGAATTTTTTGCGAGAATTGTCCATATACATAAGAAATAATACAATTTTATTCACGTTACTCCTGTGGTCAGATGTAGCTTCGATTCATTTCAAAAAAGGCAAACTTTTGTCATACAAAAGCGTTAATAATAAATAGTAGAACAAAAAAAAAAAAAAAAAGAAAAATAAGTAGGCACGACAACTGCCCATCGCCAATATATAAACTAAGAGAGAGAGAAAAGGTTTAAATCTGCAAGGAGATTCTCACGAAGCGCTTCATAATATAATACCATTTTTTTCCTTGATTTCGGACCGGACGTCAAGCGTGAATCAGCACCGTCTTGATGGGAAGACGGTACCCAGTGGTGGGCCTATTACGCTTGGACGCACACTCGATGCAACTGCGAAACCTTACTCGCCATAAGAACTAAATACAAATATACAGCAGGCGCGCAGGTATATATATACGCCGTGCAAGTGAAATGCACCGAGAGACTCTTTTATAAATATCATTTTTCATGCACTTGATAAAAATTATGGAAATTTTATTGTACAATAAATACCGAGTGATATTTAAATGCAGATTATCAATTTATCAATTTTAACATGGTATAATGTATGTTTAATTTATTTTTTCTCTGTGAATATTCAAGAAAAGTCGAAAGAAAATGAAAACTGCGCAGTCAGGATCGAGATTGATAAAAGAAAATTCGTACTTGAACCGTGGGAATATATATATTACGGTCAAGTAGTTCGCGCGTTATTCGAATGCACTATACAACACTCTCGGATAAATCCGTTCGAATCAAATTTCGCACTCGGATCGTACACAAATCGGATGGATCTTTTCAATTTTACTACACTTTCGAATCGAAAAACTAGAAATTTTGGATTTCTTACCTGTTTCAGCTCCCTTGATTCATGATAAAACGATCGAGTGATAAGCTCTCGCGCGGTAAATCCTGTCATTTACACTTCACCGATTACACACACGAATCCGCAGGAGACATCGGTTACAATGTTTTTTTTCGGGCCCGAATTATTACATTATGAAGTTGCTTATGAAAAAAAAAAAAATTGCAGCCAAATTAGCGGATTATATAAATTGGTACGTATGTGTGTATGGTGCCCCGTTCGTTTCACCGACGCGATGCGTGACAGCGAGAGCAACGAATAATATATACTGTGGGCAGACAAGAGAGAAATGAAAACTTGGCGAGGCACAAAGTTAGCAAGTGTGTGTGTTAGTGTGTATATAGACGACGCGCCGAGTTCTCTCTCTCTCTCTCTATAGTGCAAAAGAATGGGGGAACAAAAGGAAACCGATGGAGATACATTGACGAGTAGGGGATACAAAATAACCAGCAGCAGCCTACCTACCTATTCACTGGGAAGCGAGCCGAGCTGCGGCAGGTGTTTGCCAGACATTACGTGCTTTACACACGCATGCATGCCCATGCGCTGGGAGGGATTTCATATTATTATATACATACATGTATATACGTCGACTTTATTATCTTACGCTCATTCACGCTATCCCTTCGCACAGTACAAACACAGGTAGTTCTGCGCAAATGAGTTTTAGAAATTAATCGATCCGATTTTTCCGTGTTAACGACGAGGAACGAGCTTTTTTTTTATGGGTCGTCTATGAAGCGAGTCGAGCAGTCACGTGTCGCGATTATTAGCGAATAACCGATGAATTGGGTCTGATAAATATTTACCTAGTAACTGTAAATGAGTAATATTTAAGCAAATGCAAAACATTTATTCAATTTTCATACTCCGAAAAGATACCGAACCAAAATGAAAATATAAAATTTCAAAAGTTTTCCGATATTTTTAATGAATATTTTTCTTAAAAAAAATAACAAGTGGACTTTAGATATGACTTTTTACGTACGCGTACACCGCACAGTACACTCCTCGGGTGGATATCTTCGCTCCGATTGTATCCCTTTATATCCAAATTGCCGAAGTCCTAATAGTGCGCGAGAACTGGGTCGTTGCGGCCGTTATTTTTCCGAACTGTTCTATTCGCGTGCGTTGGTTTGTTTTGTAAAAAAAAAAAGGAAAACGCGATCTCTCATCAGTTGACGCTTTTTAGCGTGACACTAGCGTAAATTCGTCTGGGTCATCTTGTAAGATCGTATGTAAGATCGTATGCGAATCGATCGATTGGGAATCACTCGTTTAATCTTCTACAGTTAATATATAAAATCCCAGTTGAAAAAAATTGCGTAGATTTCTGCGTGGATTATCCATGTAGATTTTTCGGTCATCTCTTAAAAACTAAATTTCACGCACGAATCCGTTTTCAAAGAACAATCGAAAAATCTTGGCGGATTTTTACAAAAATGATCCCCACAGATTCCCCTATGGAATCTATGCATTTTCCACATGAAATCCATATACTTTCCACACAGAATACAAATGGAATCTTCATGAATAATCCACGTAGAAATCCACGCAATTTTTTCAACTGGGATGAGACAGTATCCTTCGTACTGAATCTTACTTAAGATTGTGCATAAGATCTTGTGTAATATCAAATATGAAAAAACGAATCACAGAGTCAACCTGATTATTATCAGTGGATCCAGGGCCGGTATATTACCCTATCGGTTAAAAAATTGTCAATTTTTTCGTCGAAAATTATATTCCTGATTTTTTAATTCTGTTTATCGAGTCTCATCGAAGATTTTTCTATAAAATGTACTCATTCAACACAGATTTTACATTACGATATTTTGGAAAAATAATGAACCGCAGATATTATACCTTTTACTTATTCAGTCATCATATAAAAAGACCTTATTAAATTTCATAAGGGTCCCTCATTATGCACGACCCTGAAAGTCCTCCTCCGACCCTAAACTACTCTTTACCATAAAGTGCCAAGTATGATCTTGGTGCTGTAAACTATACGATAAAAAAGTATATCTTTTTTTAAAATTATAATTTATTAATTTTACTTATTAAAATTCGAAAGATTCTAGTTTTTAGTAATAAAAAGATCATTTTGATTCGACCAGTATAACAAATTATCGTGTGCGCTAGAGGTTTTTGAAAAAAAATTTTTTCATGAAACTATGTAACAGTACATTAAAATGAAATTCAGTGACGTCAAAAAAAACTTTTAGAGTTATTTTATTAAATAGTTTTGAGCAATTAAAAGTTCTAATTTACTTAATTGCACAAATATTATTCGAAAAGTTTGAATATTTTCGCATTCGATAATATCGTTGAGTCAGTTACTTCAAACGATCGCAACGTGAATTTTTCGCTAGTGCCCAAAAATTAGTTCGTTTTTACTTTGCAAAAGGGTTAAAAATATTACTGCAGAATACAGGATGCACCGATTACAATGAAAATCAACAATTTTAGCCCACGGAATAATTTTGACCCAGTAGATTTCTCTATAAAGAATCGGCCATACATTGCATTACAGCGATCCGCACCACAAGCGAGCGCGCGTACTGCAGAGCGCAAACCTGCGGACTACTACCCACATATATACAAATGTGCAAATTTGCAGAATTGCAGTTCGCACTTGGCTGACTATATATATCGTGCAAGCGCACGCGCATTATAGCTCCTCAAAGTTTCGCATTATATATACATAAACGAGCAAAGCGAGCGCAGTATATATCTCGTATGTACACGGTCGTCACACAGTGTCCACTTCGAGCAAAGTGCATTATAGAAATAGCCCTATACTCTCCGACTGCTGCACTGTGTTGGTTTTGTTTTGGCGAATAATTCTGCGAGCTTTCGCTCTCTGTCTCTGGTACATCCGAGTTACTACGAGTCGCATCCGAGATATGTCGTTACTTTTGCTGTGCACGTAAACACGCGCCCGTGTGTGTGTGTGTGTGTCCTTGTGTACGCGTAGTACATGATCGAAGGAGTCAAGGGCTAGGGATTATATACGCAGCCACACAGCTGAGCAGCGTCCGCAGGAACTGCGCGCCCCCGTAGATCGAACTCTTATATAGCGCTTCTGCGAAGCAGCGACAACCGTCACAATCTTCAAAATCAGCGACAGACAAGTTTGTCGTCGGCTCCGTCGGGTTCGTCGTCATCGTCGTCGACGCCGCCGTCGACGTTGCCGAGGAGCAGGAGGGAGCATGGCGGAGTCGAGCAGCGAGGCCGCCTCGTCGAGCGCTGGCGGAGCGGTGAACGTGGTGCCCGTCGTCGCCACGGCCGCCACCAACACCACCACCACCAGCACCGAGTCCGGCAGCACCCAGCAGCATCAGGCCAGCGCGGCGACCGTAGCAGCCCCCAACGAGCCCGACAAATCCGAGGAGTTCCTCGAGCCCCAGAGGAAGCATCGCAAGCTGATCGGCGGCCAGTGCGCCTCCGATCAGGAGGGCTCCTCCGCGGCGGCGAGCTTCGGCGAGCTGAGCAAGTCCGAGCAGAAGCTGGAGCACAGGCTCGGCGGCATACTCTGCTGCGTCGTGTGCTTCGATTTACCCCGAGCAGCTGTCTATCAGGTAATTCTCAATGCCAAATCATTTTTAGTTTTCATTAAATGATACGATTATTTGTTTGTTTTCGATTGATCATAATTCCATTGCGCTACTCCGATTAGCAGTCAGTTATTAGCTTCTGCGCAGTTTTCGCCTCGTGCGTACGCTTTTGCTCCTAATCCTATTTTATATTACTAACTTGCAATAATTACATCTAGGCACGAATGAAAAAAACGTGGAAAAGCTGCGCGTCGTCGATACAAGCGTTCAAAACCATTTCATTTTGTTTCGTAACTCGATCGACGTTTCGAAAGAAACGTCAACACAAAAAGTCCATTATTTTGACAGCACGTCAGGGGAAAAGTTTTGTTTTCATGTTCAAAATGATATAATAACAATGGCGCTTGTGTCGTAACCCGTAAATGTAATATGACATACCATTCAATATCAATAAATGTTCATTTTTATCATAGAAATTTATTCCCAAGTCGTTGGCTACGTACTTTTTTTTTTTACATTTAGATAAATTTTCAACAAAGTCGTTATAAAAATTTTTTCAGACTATATTTACAACTATGAGGCTCGTTACCAAATATCACAATTATTTTACTTTATACAGGGTTCCAGTTGACATGAATGATAAGTTCATATTTACAACGCTAAATTTTATTTTTATGTTATTTTTATGTAAAACTAAAAATGATTTAAAATAAAATAAAAATATAATTGATAAGTTGTGTATTCTTCAATCCTGTTAATTGATCATCCTAGTTCTATACATACAATCTATGCTATTATTTTTCATTACAACGTCATTTTATGCTGATAAAAAAGCCAGAAGTGATTTTAGATGGATCACGGGGCTCTGTTCTAAGTTGATCAATGGCATCAAATTAATTTGATGCAATTAATAACTCTTTGTAATAATTTTTTTAGATTGGCCTTTACAAATAAACATTTGATCATTGTTACTTTGATATTTGCAGTGTACCAATGGACATTTGATGTGCGCTGGGTGTTTCACTCATGTTCTAGCTGATGCTAGACTTCGTGATGAGCTGGCTACATGTCCCAATTGTAGAATTGAAATAAGTAAAACATCAGCATCTCGGAATCTTGCTGTTGAAAAAGCTGTTTCAGAGTTGCCAGCAGAATGTCAGTATTGTACAAAGGAATTTCCAAGAAATTCGTTAGAGCGACATGAAGAAACCCTGTGTGAAGAAAGGTATGGCAGCTTGATTTTGTCACAAATTTTGTTCATTTTTCTTCAACACACAATTTTATGATTTTAGGATATCAAGTTGTAAATTCAGCAGAATTGGCTGTCCATGGCGAGGACCTAATCATGAAAGACCAGAACATGAGGAACATTGTGTTCATCCGCATCGTACGGGAGCAGATGTGATGGATGCTTTGCGTGACATAGATGCTAAAAGTTTAGAAGAACGAAAACTTTTCGATAATGTCTTTGAACTTCTATCATACGAAAAAATAACTTTTAATGGTAAAATACAAGTAAATTTGTTATTGTAGCTAAAACAACTGAATTTAGCATAGATTTTTATTTTATATTACTTTAATGATTTTTGTTTATAGATTTGCAGATGAAACCATATCGAACAGATGAGTTTGTACACAAGCTATTTTATGAAACTTCTCGTTTCACAGCTTTTAACAATCAGTGGGTTGTTACTGCAAGAATCAATAACAGTCAACGAGATCCAACTCAGAGTGCTGAACGTGATATGACTTATCAGGTTTTTATAACATTAATATTTTGAAATATCTTCATTATTTATTTTTAATTACAAATTTAATTTATTATTTTTAGCTAATTTTGAAAACTAAAACTACTTGTCCTCTACCCATGCATTACCTCATCTTAAAAGGACCGTTTGGTGACATGAAAGTACAACCACGAATTCACAGATATGATTTTACAGACCAAGACAATGAAAGTCCATATATGCCCTTACCATTGCCTGATACAGCTGAATGCAACAGATTATTAGCCGCTAAAGCTATAAATTTTCGGTAAGTTCTAAGTAATAATTTTTAAATATAATTCATGGATTGTGTTAAATGTTTTTATTTATTACATTCGACAGACTTATCATGTTCTTGGCTTCAAAGTAAAGCGCCACTGAATGTTGTTTCGAGTTCACTTGACTGAAAATCTTCATGTCATGTTTCTCAGATGCAAGACAAAAACTGTATGCTTCAAGATACTTATGAAGAAAAATATCAAATATGTATCAATGTATAATTGATATGATGTGGTGCACATATGTGGATGAAATTATTTATTCTGTACTAAATTATATTATACTATAGTAACGAAATAAATTAATAAATTTTGAATTGTCAATGAATTTAGCAATATAAAATATAGTTACTCAGAAAAAATCACAAAATTGTAACAATATATGAGTTCAATTAAAAAATTTGCAAGTTTAAATATGAGTATGAGCATGATTTGTAGAAACAATGTAAATGAATTTAAAATAATCTTGCACATTCATATTTTTGATTTTTTTTACAATACTGGTAAAAAAAATTAAAAAATTTTTTTAAATATTCTGCAGATGTCATGCAAGAATTAAAAATGCTTTAATAACTTATTCCTTACATATTAGTTTTGTTGATTTTCTTGCATACAGTTTTCATTTTGAAAATATTTTCTTAATTTGGACAAAATGATGATTAAGCATCTTGTAAATATTATGTGTTCAATTTGTCTTTCTTCAAAATAATCTGTTAATATGTACCAAGTTGACATGAAATATTAATTTTAAAATGCAGTAAAAATGATAGAAACTAATATAACTCAATTTTTATATAAATTAAATCCTTCATATAAAAAAAGTTCAAATGAAAACTAATATTTTATTTCTTAGGACATCAAGTAAAACTTGAAATTAAAATATATATCAATTTTTGGTTCAACAAATCATGAGTTTGCCAGTTAATGTCATTTAATTTTATTTCTTTTAAACTGATGATGTATGATTAAAGAAATTTAATAAACAACCAAAAAATGATAATATCTTACCTTTAATTAAATTAATTGCCTACCAATAATATGTTATTACTTTCTTTACATTGATTTAATAGATTTGAGAGAACGTGATCTTGAAGTATTATTTGAATATTTCGAAGCCTTTACCCAATTATACTTGAAACAATATTATTTTATTTAATAAGGGAATAGGTCATGAAAATTAAACGTACTTAATTACCAGTATTTTGTTTAAAAAAAGTAAGTTAATGCATTTGCAATTAATAAATAACATATTAAGTCGTAATTCACATACATTAAATTTTCAACTTTATCGTTTTACCTTTATCAAAAAGTATTAACAGTACTAACAGTTTTTTTTGATTATAAATTATCAACTATTCATTATGCAGTAACTTTTTTTGGTGATGATATTAGACCCATCAATACACAATCTGCCTCTAGTAACGTTACATCTGTGGTTGCTCCAAGAAATTTTGTGGACAGTTCTAGACTTTTGACCTTTAGCTTTACTTTTGCACCTCTCACGTATTCACTAAAAAATTTTAAAACAAATATGAAAAGTCACACAAAAATATTAATACCTTTGTAAAATTGTTTACCTGTTATTTTTTACTGGCTTTGAACATATACAATGAAACTTCCAACCAAAATCAATATATAAATCATTGTTAACAACTTCAAAAATTTGTCCAACAACAATCATATTTTCAGGATCTCCTAACTAAAATCAAAATATGATTACTATCAATATTTTTCTGTAGTTGTGTGATTTGAAAAAACTCACATGAATTAAGTTACTATGTCGAAGTAAACTAGAAAACGATGGCTTAGAAGTTTTAGTATTAATCAACTCATTACTTTGGTTCTGATTACTTTGTTGTTCTAAAGCTCTTGGAGTTTGAGTACCAAGTGATGCAGAAAATCTTAGTTTAGATCTCGATTGCAAAACATGATTAATCACACGACGTGATAGTATATTATGCATTTTTCGTTTTATTCAAATGCTTCTGCCAGTTTTATTTAAATACTTTCAAGTTGACTTTCTATAATTCAATGATTATTGTTACGAAAACTTGTTATGATCGAATCAGCACGAAGCAGAAGATTCAGATATGACAAAAACGATAAAGCCATGCCATGCAGACTGTTCTGTAAAGTGACCACTTCGTGACGATTTGAAAACACCGTACCGAAGCCGGTGCGAATTTCTTATTGATAGTATAAAAATTTAAAAGTCGATGAAGTTTTATTTTTTCATAATAATTTTGAGTCAGATCATCAGAGTATCCGAATAAAAAATAAAAATATATTGTATTTTTTTAATTGTCTATTAAAAATTCGCCGTCAGGGGGTGATAGATGTCTACATCTGTTTCTAGCAGACAACAGTAAAAGTTTTATCTGTCAATTCTGCTTTGGTTAGAATATTGTGTAAATGTTCCTTTAACATTTATAATACCGGAGTCATTTTTATTGTTCAACATAACATTTTGACACATTTTGTAGTTTATCATAGTTTACATAAGATGAATTCTTTATTGAAACCCATTACGCAAAGCTCGTAAGTAAAATTTATACTTATTACAAATATTTAATTCAAACCATGAAAATTGACCTCAATGGGACAAAAATAGTTCTATAGAAACAAAAGTAAATCTATAAACTTGATGAAAAACTATGGTTAAAATGAAGTAAATTGTTTAAAATTGAAGTCAATTCATATCAGTAGAGCAAAAGCTATTCATTTAAAGCACACATTTGTTTTGACATTCAGGTATTTTTGTATTATTTAGAATTCAGAAACAAAACAATGGATTCTGATAAATATCTTTAGTGTGTGTTAAATTTGAAACAAGCTTAATAGGTAATTGAATAATGCCTAAAGATATAATAGCTGCTGGATGGATAATTTTATTTGTTTCATAATCAAGTTTTCAATCAATTCTTCTAAAGTTAGCGTTGAATGGATTTAATGCATAAACAAATCGGTAGTCATTTTTCTAGAAATAAATGTGTTTGCTTTCAATCTACTGTTATTGAATCATGCATAAATTTACCAAATTTTTGAGTTATCTTCAATTAAATTAAAATAAATTTGATGAACTTGGAAATTCATTCTAAAAAATATCTAGTACAGTCAATATCAAGCTTATGCGACACAATACTTTTAGATTTAAGTGCATATTATGTCTTATACGAGTTTTCAAATGTTGTTTTAAAATCTCTAAATTATAAAAGCTAAAATATTATACTTTCTTATGAATAAGGCCGCATTTAAAGAATATAGTTTTTTCAAGCAATGAAAACAATAATTAAAAATAATGTATTTAATACAGAAAAAATTTTGAACTTAGAAAAGTTATTTAAAATTCAAGTTTTAGATAATTTTTAGATACATATTAAGTCATTTAAAAGCTTGAGTGATAAATTAATCATTGTTATATCATTTGATTTAATGATGGTTAAATACCTTGCACATGAATGCAATGTTGTGTAAAAAGAAAATTAAATTCAGATAAAATATTATAAATAAAGCTAGTAAATATAGATTATTCAATTGACTTTTTATGGTTTGCTTTGTTTTTATGGATTAAATACTAAAAATTATTTCTAGGGAGGGCTTGGAAAATAATTTCTTTAATATTATTTGTAACTGTAGCTCTTTTTATTATTAAAAAAAATTGTTAGAGAATTCAATTTTTGAGAATTACAGACATAAATCACGATCTTCATGGTGGAAATTGCTAAAACACTTGAAAAAAATTAGAATTAATATTTAAATAAAAAATTTTCGAAATAAATAACGTAGTTTAATAAAAAATTATTATTTGTATTTGATATGACTGTATCAATAACCATGTCATGCTGGAATTATACCTTTTTTAATTATAATTAAAAAAAAATTTGGTACGACAAACTGCGAAATTCATTTAGTCGTCGACACAGCGAAGTAGGGGCGACGTTTATGCCTGTTCATGTACTATTCTTATTATCGCGTATGTTAAACATAGAGGCGGACCCCTATACGCTATATTTACATTTTTTACTTATTACCGTATTGACCGACTCACACTTTTCTGCTTGAAATGAATACTTTCATAGTTTCGAATTTAAAGTTAGGAGTGTGATGTTATCGTTTTAAATCCCAATATATTTGTTCATAGAGTAATTCAAACCATAATTTTATTTTTATATATTGAATATACCGCTTGTATAGAAATTTTAATAGTGAACGTTTTGATTGATTTTAAAAAAAATTCTAGGTTCACCAATTTGGTTTGGAATCATCTTATACTGCGCACAAGAATGAAGTACGCTTTTCCAAGACCGAGAGAGGTAAAACGAGTAGTCCACCAAGGATATTTTACACGATTGGCTACACCTGACGGTCGAAAAATTCTCATGAGAAAAATTCTTAAAGGTCGTCATTGTCTTGGACATTAGCTTAATTTAAATAAAAATGTTTATTACTTATATTTATTGTCATTTTTAAATCCCGACCCACTTATTATATAACTTTGGTTATAATTTTGGACGGTATTTTTAGTATCTGGAAACCTGAAAGTTGATGTGCTGTTACACGCTGTTGATAAATTCCATTCGTTCGATTTTAATTTGTAACTGATCACATTTTAAATCATGTGTAGTACGGGCCGCCTCTCGGCATTGCAATACTTATTAACAGCAATAATAATAATAGAACATTATACGGTATGGGCAGAGCCCCTTTTAAGGGTTTCTTACGATTGCAGAATCAAACCGGAACAAATCTATACCTAATAAACATCATTAACAAAGTAACTTTTTAAATGAAAAATTTTTTCCAAAAAGTACATAAGATATGTGTTTAGCAAGTACGCTTTATCAATGAGGCAAGATACAAAAAAGACATCGAACGTATTGCAATATCTTTCTTACATAAATGAGTTCAAAATTTTCGGGAACTTGAAAAAAATAACGGATGTTCTTTGAAATTAAAAAATTTAAGTAAGGATAAGCAGACTAAAAATTTTAAATTATCGATTCCATAATTATACACGTGTACAAATAATTTCAACATTTGTATGTATTTGCATTATCTATGTGCGTACTTTACTGCAAACTGAGTTGCTACTTTCTAAAAATATTTCATTGAAAACGTTATGCGAAGAAACGAAGTGAAAGAAAACTTTTTTTCGCCACATAATTGTTATAATTTACTAAATGAATGAATCTTCTGCTACAATTTAGCATATAACGAGTGAAGAGTTTACTGAAATTGTATTTACATTTTGTTACGTCATGGTTCTGATAAGCTAACATTTATTTGTCACTGGAGATACTCGGCAAGCATCAATTTATATACTTATACATCATTCAATGTTTTTCTCAAACACTAAATTTTTACATCAGTTATCTACCGAATTCATACTACAATATGTATAAATTACAACGTTTTTTATTAATAGATAATAAGTAAGTGACCATGCTTGTTATAATTTACATCTATAATTAAAGCTGTAATACAAAATTACATGCAAAAGCAACGCAGTATCCCATAATTAATTTTTATTTAATTTTTTCACTCTCTTTAATTTGTTTTTTTTCTGTTTTTTGAGTGCGTACAGAAGTATTTTTTCAAAAATTTTTCTATTAATTTACAAACATTGTTGTTTCTATTCACACGACAAAAACATACGATATATTTAAATAAGCCGCATGGTTTTTACGGTAAAATTCAATATTTTACGTACTCTATCGTCAAATTTATTACCAAAATTTTTGATGATATTAACAATTCGGATAAAAAATAATATTTTCATTCACGGATCTATTGATAAATCATTTTGCAATTTTTTTTCTTACGGAAGCTTTAAAGTAGCATCAAGAGTAGCGACAAACTATATGATACTTTAGGTTAGATTGGGAAAAAACTTTCATGCCGACATAATTCGAAAGCCAGATATAATAAGGGGATTGAATTTTACATTTTCAAAATTTTATAGTATTCCTAAATACTTGTACTATCAAGAAAAATCGTATTATTAAAAATACCGAAAATTCAATATGCTCTACATTTGATAAGTTTAAAATAAACCAGACCAGATTTGTATAAGTTCCTATGTCCATTAGATAGAGCGATTTTTAGCAAGATTCTGAGTAAGATCTTTTTCAAAATCTGGTACGAAATATGGGTAACATCATGTCTCAGATCTTGATAAGCTTTTTCACCTTTTTGTTTTTCCCAACCTGGGGCATCAATATACTATTCTTGGACCAGTTGATTTATAGGAAATAATAAGTACATTTTACGACTATTTTTTACAGATCTACTTCGAAATATTTGAGGTATAATTTTTCTAGTGCTAGTACTAATTCTGTTAAAGAAATAAACAAGGTAAAAACGATATACTTTTCAATTTTTCAACAACCAAAAATTATAAAATAATCCCTAGGCTTTTTTTAAATTTTAGCTTTTAATCGCAAATAGGGGTGAGATAGCATGCCGTATTTTGAAAACGGCAAAAAAGCTTGGCATTAAAACGGTCGCAGTTTACAGCGATGCAGATAAAAAATCGATGCACGTTGAACTTGCCGATGAAGCGTATCGAGTGGGACCTGCTCCTTCGAGTCAAAGTTACTTGAAACAGGATAAAATAATAGAGATTGCAAAAAAATCCGGATGTCACGCCATTCATCCCGGCTATGGATTCTTATCGGAAAATGCGAATTTCGCTGAATTTTGCAATGAGCAAAAAATTATTTTTATCGGCCCACCGGTACAAGCGATCAGAGACATGGGAATAAAAAATAAGGCAAAATCAATAATGGTCGCAGCGGGAGTTCCAGTAATCGAAGGTATACTAAAAGTTACTATAATTTTCTTAAATATTTTTCGCTAATGTACTATTTTCAAAGGTTACCACGGTCATGATCAGTCGGATAGTAATTTATTAAAGGAGGCTCAAAAAATCGGTTTTCCTCTAATGATCAAAGCTGTTTGTGGTGGTGGTGGTAAGGGAATGAGAATTTCACAAACAGAAGAGGATTTTTTTCAATCGCTTGAATCAGCCAGAACTGAATCTCAGAAAGCCTTTGGTGATTCGTTGGTACTCTTAGAAAAATACATAGCAGAACCCAGACATGTTGAAGTTCAAGTTTTTGGTGATACTTATGGAAATGTTGTTCATTTATTTGAGAGAGATTGTTCTGTTCAAAGAAGGCATCAAAAAATTATTGAAGAAGCTCCAGCGGTAAATAAATAAACTAATGACAGTCAGCTTTTTTTACATTAGATTAATTGATATATAAATAGAATAGATTCTAGTAAGATTATCACTTAATATTTTCTGTAAACCCTGACATAATTTTTTTTAAAAATATTCAGTAGACCTCTCAAAAAATGAGTTCAAGTTTTTGCTTGACAAGAAAATAAAAAATTTTTCGTGGAAAATTGTAGAAATTTATATTTACAGCCTGGAATATCTGAAGAAAATCGAAAAATTCTCGGTGCCGCTGCCGTCAAGGCAGCAAAAGCCGTAAATTATGTCGGAGCTGGTACAGTGGAATTTATCATGGATAGACACTCAAAAGACTTTTATTTTATGGAAATGAATACGCGTCTGCAAGTAGAGCATCCAATTACCGAAGCAATAACCAGTACAGATCTAGTTGAATGGCAGATAAGAGTGGCCGCTGGTGAAACGTTACCCGTAAAACAAGAAGATATCAATTTACGAGGTCACGCTTTTGAAGCTCGCATCTACGCCGAAGTAAGATACAAAGTGTAAAAAATTACGTAAAAACATTTTTGAAGTGAAATAACTTCGATTGTTTTTCAGAATCCTCAAGAAGGATTTTTACCGTGTCCTGGAAAAATTAAACACTTAGCCCCACCGTTATGCGATGAAAATACGAGAGTGGAAACTGGCGTCAGGCAGTTCGACGAAGTATCCGTACATTATGACCCATTAATTGCTAAATTAGTTGTTTGGGGCAAAAACAGAGCTGAAGCTTTGAATATGATGAAAATCAAACTTTCGGAATTTAATGTAAGTTAATTTTTCATTTAAAATTATTCCTATTTCAATTCGATGTTGTATAGGTTGTAGGCTTAGAGACGAACACCGAATTCATTCGACGCATTTGTTCTCATTCTAAATTCAGCAACGGCGAAGTTCACACTGGATTTATCGAGGAAAATCACGAATCTCTATTTGTGGAAAATCCAATTCCTGAATCCGTCGTGGTTGAAGCGGCTCTTAGTTTAATATTGAGCGACGAAACAGAAGGATTCGATTCTTCGAACGACCGTCTTAATCCATTCCGTACTGAAACAGCATTCAGGCTAAACCATACCTTGAATCGTAGAATATGCTTGGAAATGAAAGGAAAAAAATTTATCGTAGACGTAAAATATACTGAACCGGAAGGGTATTCCATCAGATTGAACGAATCAGGATCATGGAGATCTGTGACTGGTGATTTGAAAAAAATGGATAACATATTAGAATTGAGATCATTTATTGACGGAAAATTCAAAAAATCGAGAATAGTCAAAATGAAAAATGATGTATTTCTATTTATGGATGTGAGCTTAAAACCAAATATACAAACACGTTTACATTTTTGTAGATATACTGCTATACGCTTGCATTTTTTTTATTCAGGACAGCCAATGGCACTTCAATCTTCTTCAACCTGAATTTCTAAATGAATCAAATAGTCAGACGGCTTCGTCGCGGGGTGCCGCTGTGAGTCCGATGCCGGGTATCGTTGAAAAATTGTTTATAAAGAAAGGCAATAAATTTCAAATTGGCGATCCACTGGTATCAATAGTTGCCATGAAAATGGAGGTAAGATAGAACATGAATGATCGATGCGAAAGATATCTAAAAATGTTATGATTTCTAGCACATCATCAAGGCTGATACTTCAGGGACGATTCAAGAAATATGCTGTGAAACTGGTGAAAAAGTTGATAAAAATAAAGTTCTAGTCAAATTCGAAGATGAAGTTTGAGGATGAATGTATGCGAGTGAAGAAGAAGACTTTGCGATTATGTTATTTCTTGTGATGAAATGATTCAATACTCTTTTTATAAAATATTTGGTTAAAATGAATTCTGTTAATTATTTTCCTGTTAAAAATGTTGGCTGGATGTTTGGTGGTATATATTTGTGCGTATATTGTTCAAACTAGCAGTAACTGTATTCAGTGAATCGATCACGTTGTCGTGAGCAATGAATTCGAGCGAATGAGTACGGGTCCATCGATCAACGTTTATGAACTTCGAAAGTCTGCGAAATACCACCGATCATCGCAGCTACCTTGAAGCTGTATAGCGTTGAGCCTGTGGTTTTTTTTATTAGTCTATTAAATGCGCACGAACAGTGGTAATTAGAAGAAGTGTCGCTCCCACGCGAAAAACTCGTTAAACAAAACAGAGAGCATCAATTAGTACGCGAAATCTGGAAACACACCACAAGGACATTATAAAAAGATGTCATGATAGTTGACATGATTTGAGACTCGATCATTCAGGCATACTTTTTATTAAAATTGTAGAAAAACATATTTACAAATATCAATACATATTTTACATTTGTCAATCATTGTTTCTTCTCGCAATTATCGTTTGCGTAATCGTTTCTACCTTTGTGTATTTTCTTTTGGTGTTTCTTCAAATTGCTTTGATCCCCAAATTTCTTCTCACAGACGTCGCATACGTAATCTTTTCGACCTTCGTGGATTGTTCTTTGGTGCTTGATCAAATTTGATTTTCCTCCGAATTTTCGCTCGCAGTTATCGCATGCGAAATCTTTGCGACCTTCGTGGACTGTCCTTTGGTGCTTCAAGAAATCTGAACTATTTCCACATTTGAGCTCGCATTTGTCACACTCAAATTCTTTGCAACCTTCGTGGACTATTTTTTGATGTTTTCTTAAATTGCTTTGAACCCCAAATTTCTTCTCGCACTTATCACATGGGTAATCCTTACGATTTTCATGGACCGTTCTTTGGTGCTTCAACAAATCCGATTTCGTGCCAAATTTCTTTTCGCACCTGTCGCAAACAAAATTTTTACGACGATCGTGCACTATCCTTCGGTGAACGAGCAAATTACGTTTACGACCAAATTTCTTTTCGCATTTATCGCAAACAAAATCTTTTGCTTCGTGTACTGCTCTGTGCAAAAACAAGGTCGATTTTCGTCCAAATTTCTGCTCGCACTTGTCACATGGGTAATCTTTGCGTCCCTCGTGGACTGTCTTCTGGTGTAAGAGCAAAAGCCATTTATATCCGAATTTCTTCTCACAGTTATCACATGCATAATCCCTGCGATTTTCGTGAAATATTTTTTGGTGTTGTTTCATGTGGCTTTGAGATCCAAATTTCTTTTCGCATTTGTCACATGTGTAATCTTTCCGACCTTCATGTACTGTTTTCAGGTGAAAGAGCAAATGCGATATTTGCCCGAAGTTCTTCTTGCAATTGGCACAAGCAAAATCTTTGCGACCTTCGTGGACTGTCTTTTGATGCTTTGATAAATCTGATTTACCTCCAAATTTCTTCTCGCAATTGACGCATGCGTAATCTTTGCGACCTTCATGGACTGTTTTTATGTGTCTGTTCAAAGTACTTTGTTCCGCAAATTTCATCATGCATTTGTCACATGTGAAATCTTTGCAACGCTCATGGATTCTTGATATGTGACGGAGTAAACCTGATTTATTTTTAAATTTCTTTCCGCAATCAACACATAAATTATCTTTGAATACTTTGGAGGCAAAATTTTTCCTACCGTCGTGTACTGCCTTTAGGTGGATTAGCAAATAAGATTTTTGTACAAATTTCTGCTCGCACTTGTTGCATGCGAAATCTTTCGGACCCTCGTGCACTGTTTTTATGTGCGTGAGCAAACTCTGTTTATTTCCGAATCTCTTTGCACACATTTCACATAAGTAATTTTTTAATACTTCGTGGAATATCTTATTGTGCTTGAGTAAATTTGATTTATTTTCAAATTTCCTCTCACATTTGTTGCATGAGTAATCTTCGCGATCTTTGTGGACTAATTTTTGATGCGTAATCAAACTTGACTTTTTCACGAATTTTTTCTCGCAATTTTCACATGGAAAATCTTTGTGGCTTTTGTGCATTGATATTAGGTGTCTACTGAGATGACTTCTGAATTCAAATTTCATTTCACAATTGTCGCATGCAAAATTGTTCTCTTTATTGTGAATTGTGTCTCGGTGTGTTATCATACTTGATTCTACTGTAAATGCCTCCTGACAAATATCACAAATATATTGTTTTTCGTTTGAAAGAACAATGTCATGTACTCTTGCATTATCTCTCGAGATAACTTCGTCGAATTTCTTCTCATTTTTATCCATTTTGGTGCCTAAATTGAATGAATGATCAGTTTATTTAAGATAAATAAAATTTATCTTTTGGTATTATTATGGCTTGTTTCGTCGAGAAAGACATTATTTAGACTAATCTAAACATGATCATTGTATCGAGCTATAATGTTTACAACTAAGTGGCCGATTTATCTGTTCATACATTACTTACAACATTTGAAACAATCTACAATACCAACTTGACGACGATTTCTTCGAAGAATTATTTGGACCACTCAGGATATTTACACTTCAAAAAAATCTAGTGGCATTGATTTAATAGACCCTGGCACATATTTATAAGTTATAAAAAAAATTATCCTTCTCAAACCAAGTATTTGTATGAACAATGTGTATGAACAACGTGAATGAACAATTTTAATATTCATTTCAAAATTTGCTGTCCTCTCGCCACAAAGTGATTGGCGTACTCTATAAATCAACCCTAAAATCAAGCGAATTTTAATGATAAATTTCATTTATAAGGGATATTCATGATTATGTAAGTTAACGCCGATCTTACGGGCACTTTTAATGCTGAAATCAAAATTCAACTTTCTCTCTCTCTTTCTTCCTATTTTTTGCAGTGAAAACTTCATTCTTGACACGATGAGGGTGGCTTCTAGCTTTATAATATCAGAATCACAGTATGAATTTTTATTTTCAAGTTCTTATCTAAATAAGCGTACAGCGGTGGGTCAGAAAAAATGTCACCGCCATAAAAACTTTTGTTTATAGCACAAGCAATTCCAAGAACTTGGTGTAAGGATTTTGGATTGACAAGTGTGCTAAGGAAAGGATAAAATAATTATCAAGCTTTTACTGATTTTTATGGGATGTAGAAAACGTTTTTTTGTTTTTAAATTGAATTATTACTTTTTTTCTCTTTGGTTTTTTCGATTTTCTTTTTTTACTATAGATAAAGTCTAACAGTAATAATCAATCTCGCACTAGTGCACGTTTGATGCATTCAGCATATTATTAGTTGAGGTTTATCAAAAATCCAGTAGTCAACCAAAAATTTGCCCCTTTCACCGCTATAAATAAGACGTAAAAAAATGATATGTGCACGAATAGCTAAAAAGGAGTCAAGAAATTTTAGGAGGATAGTAATTAGTAGTAAGTCAAAATTAAAACATCCCCATAACAGTGGACAACGGCATTATGAATAATGACAAATGATATCACGTAAGTCTCAATCATTTGGGCATAATTTTTATTGAAATTTAAAAATAACATATGTACAAATATCTATACATTTTTTTAAATTGTCAATTATCATTTATTCTCGCAATTGTGTCATGCGTCGTCTTTACAATCTTAATGAACTATTATTTAATGTTTAAGCAAATGCAATTTTTGTCTAAATTTTTTCTTGCATTTTTATGCAACCTTCGAATACTGCCTTTTTGTGCTTTATTTAATTTGATTTTTCTCCGAATTTTCGCTCGAATTCATCGCATGTGAAATTTCCCCGATCTTCACAGACTGTCCATTAGTGATTCAACAAATCTGACTTACACCCAAATTTTATCTCGCATTTGTTGCATACAAATCCTTGGGGACAGTCATGGATTCTCTTTAGATGGGAGAGCAAATTTCTTTTTCGTCCAAACTTTTTTCCGCACTTTTAACATGCGTAATCTTTTCGGCCGTCGTGTATATCACTTTAGTGCCTGAGTCAATTCAGTTTTTGGGTAAATTTTCCCGTGAACTGCTTTTTGGTGCCTAATCAAATTTGATTTATCCCCGAATTTTCGCTCACAGTTCTCGCATGCGAAATCTTTGCGACCTTCGTGGACTGTTCTTTGGTGTTTTTTCAAATTACTTTGATCCCCGAATTGCCTCTCACAAATGTCACATGCAAAATCTTTCCGACCTTCGTGTACTGTTCTTTGGTGCTTCAACAAATCTGATTTGCATCCAGATTTCTTCTCGCATTTGTCGCATGCATAATCTCGGCAACCTTCATGAACCATCTTTTGGTGTTTGATCAAGTGCTCTTTTCGTGTGTATTTCCTCTCACACCTGTCGCATGCGAAATCTTTCCGACTTTCATGGACTGTTCTTTGGTGACTGAGCAGCTGTACTTTTTGTCCAAATTTCTGCTCGCAATTATCGCATGCAAACTCTTTGCGACTTTTGTGCACTATCTCTTGGTGTCTGAGCAAATTCACTTTTTGTCCAAATTTCTTTTCGCATTTGTCACATGCATAATCTTTGCGACCTTCGTGTACTGTTTGATGGTGTCTCAACAAATCTGATTTACTTCCAAATTTCTTCTCGCACTTGTGGCATTCGTAATCTTTGTGACCATCGTGAACTGTTTTTTGGTGTTTGGTCAAAGTGCCTCGTTCCCCAAATTTCTTCTCGCATTTGTCGCATCCGTAATCTTTGCGACCTTCATGGACTGTTTTTATGTGTCTGTTCAAAGTACTTTGTTCCGCAAATTTCATCATGCATTTGTCACATGTGAAATCTTTGCCACGCTCATGGACTGTCTTTACGTGCCTGAGCAAACTTCGTTTATTTCCAAATCTCATCGCGCACTTTTCACATAAGTAATCATTGAAAACTTCGTGGTATACTTTTTTGTGACTTTTTAAATTAGATTCATTTTTAAACTTCCTCCCGCATCTGTTGCATGTGAAATCTTTGCTGCCTTTGTGTATTAATATTTGATGCCTACTTAAATGACTTCGGAACTCAACTTTTTTGTCGCACTTGTCGCATGCGAAATCTTTTTTTTCATTATGAGTTTCGTCTCGATGAGTTATCATGCTTGATTCTAGTGTGAACGCCTCCTGACGAATATCACAAACGTTTTTTTCATCGTTTGAAACAATAATATTATGTTTATTTAAGTCATCTTCAGAGACAACTTTTTCAGATTTTTTCTCACTTTCATCCATTTCGGTGCTTAAATTGAATGATTGATTCTTCTTAGTGTCACAGAAATTGAAAGAGTAAAACTAAGGCTTGTACCATTACGAAAGACAACATACAAACTAATTTATTTTCACAAGAAACATCAACAATTTTAAGAGGGACTAAATCAAAATCGTTTATGATGATATTGTTGACAATTAATTTTAAAGCTTCTTACTAGTTTTAAAAAAATTTAGGAAACATACTTTGGATTATTAATTGATTGAAATTAGACATTAAAACCATTTTCAGCCGACTTTCAATCGTTGCACGAATTTCTGCAAGAACAAGGGAACAAAAAAATGTACCGTGGCTAGTAATTAACAATTTGTGAAATTTTATTTAGTCAACTAAGCACCATCACGACAGTAAACGAAGGTGTAATGACAATTGATAGCTCGAGATTCAGATAATACACAATCATTTCGGCACAATATTTATTGAAATTTTGGAAAAACGTCTATATGAGTATGAATATATATTTATAATTGCAAAACATAACTTTTGTTACATACTTGTCTCAAGATTGTTCCTTGCGACCTTCATGGACTACCTTTTTGTGCCGAATCACTAACCATTTTTGTCCAAATTTTTTCTCGCATTTTTCACATGCGTAATCTTTGCGACCTTCGTGGACTGCTTTTTGGTGTGCTGTCCAATTGCTTCGAACCCCAAATTTCTTCTCGCATTTGTCACACGCGTAATCTTTGCGACCTTCGTGAATTGTATTTTGGTGGATGATCAAGTAGACTTTATTTGCAAATTTTTTCTCACACTTATCGCATCTGTAATCTTTTCGACCTTCGTGAATTGTTTCTTGATGAATGAGCAAATTTGAATTATTCACAAATTTCTTCTCACACTTGTCGCATGCAAAATCTTTGCGACCCTCGTGGATTATCTTTAGGTGGGTGAGCAAATGGGATTTGTGTCCAAATTTTTTTTCGCACTTGTCGCATGCAAAATCCTTGTGACCCTCGTGTACTCTTCTTTGGTGCAAAAGTAAAGTCGATGTTAGTCCAAATTTCTTCTCGCACTTTTCGCATACGAAATCCTTACGACCTTCGTGTACTGTCCTTTGATGCCTAAGTAAACCTGTTTGAGTCGAAACTTCTGCTCGCAATTATCGCATGGGTAATCTTTCCGACCTTCATGAACTGTTTTTCGGTGTCTGAGCAAATGCCATTTGTGTCCGAACTTCGTTTCGCACATATCGCATGTGTAATCTTTGCGATTATCATGGACTGATTTAATGTGCAAGAGCCATCTCGATTCTTTTCCAAATTTCTTCCCGCAATCATCGCAAAAGTAATCTTTGGAGACTTTGAAATCTTTCAGATCTTCGTGTACTGTCTTTTGGTGTGTGAGCAATCGATGCCTTTGTCCCAATTTCTTTTCGCACTGATCGTGTACGGTCTTTATGTGTAGGAGCAAACTCTGTTTATTTCCAAACCTTTTTGCGCACTTTTCACATAAATAATCTTTAAAAACTTCGTGGAATATCTTTTTGTGCTTTAGTAAAGTCGATTTATTTTCAAATTTCCTCTCGCACTTGTTGCATAAGTAATCTTCGCGATTTTTATGTGCCAATTTTAGGTGCGTAAATAAACTCGATTTTTTCACAAATTTCTTCTCACTCTGGTCGCATGCAAAATCATTACGGCTTTTGTGTTCTGATATTTGGTGTCTACTCAAATGACTCCGGAACTCAAATTGTTTTTTGCACTTGTCACAAGCGTAATCTTTTCGTTCATGGTGAATTGTGTCTCGGTGCGCTATCATACTTAACTCTAGTGCAAATGCCTCTTGACAAATATCACAAACGAATTTTTTTTCGTGTTCACTTACATTATCGTTCGAGACAATTTCCTCGGGTTTCTTCTCAATTTTGTCCAATTTGGTGCCTAAATTAAACGACGAATCAGTCTATTTAAACTGAACGAGTAAAATTTATCTTTTGGTATTATTTCATCGGGAAAGACAACATTCAAACTAATTTATTTTCATTATAAACATGATCAGTGCGCCGAGGGGCTACGTCCAAATCGTTCATGATCATATTG